TGTGACAGCTTTCAAAACGGACTTAAACGGACGGAAAATGCGCGGCCAATGGAAAAACTGCTCGCACTGCTCGAAGCACATGAAAAACTGGTTACGCCTGGCAAAACGCCACGCGGCAAGCTGGCCTTGTGCTAATCCACATTTTAGAATCTCAGCCGCAACAGTCGCAGCAGCCCCAGCAGCCGCAGCAGCTGAAAATTCTGCGACTGCTTTGAAGCTGTTTTGTGAAACCAAACTCGAATACTCGATGGGGGGGCACAATTGCTGCCGATGAATCCATGGGCGCAAAACCATTTAGCTGGCTGAGAACGTGATCGGCGTTTCAGTCGGAGAGTTGCGATCGGATTGGACACTACTGCATCAACTTGACTTTGAGTTTAGTTGTTTTCGTTAATTGCAAATTGCCAGACTCTGGTTTCACATTTAATTGCAAGATCAATGTGCCAGCTGCCAAATATAAATAAACAATTTAAATGCCGCCAATGACATTTGACAACGATGTACGTTTGATTGCATTAGTTTCTAATGCATGAGTATGCATTTAATCAAGCTGTTCCCCTTTTTTATTCTTGCAGATAATTATCACAGCCATGGACCGTTTTGTCTGGTTTGTGCTGCTGGTGGTCATGACGCACCTGGTCACCGAATTTACACGCGTCACCGGCTATGCGAGAGGACAACGCAACGAGCTGGTGCTCATCAACGATGTAAGTAAGCGACGCCTAATCAAAATTTTAACTAACACTAAAGTAAGGGTATCTGCTTCTTGCTTAACACTAAATAGTCGCATAGACATGCGACTTCGGCAGTGGGCTAATACAAAAGCTTTATTGCCAACCAATTGCTGCGTTTAGAGCTTCCAAACTTTAAAACTTTCTGTTGCATATTTTTTAGCGCCCATTAAATATTTATTGAGAGAATTGTGGTAGGGAGTAGAGAATGAGTATTGAAATTTATTATTTGAACTGGTTATTTCTCAGATATTCCAACTCCTGAAATATTAAAAAAAAATAACAGATATGCATAAGCAATAATTATAATTATATTTCTGATGACGCTAATCAAATTAATTATCACAATAAGTGAAAACGCAATGCAACAAACAGATTTCTCTACTAAATGCATCCACTTATTTCTAACAGTCTTATATTTCAATAAACAGTTTAAAAATATTATAACAAATTAATGTAATTTATTTAAATTTGGATTTTGACGCGCTTAAAGCCTCTTATAAACATTGAACAATCAACTCAATTTCCATTATTTTTTTGTAAAGTGTTAAATATTTAGACTAAGTTGAATATTTAAATAAGTATCTAATACAAAAAAAAAATGTATACACTTGCGGCTTATTAAAGAGCTCGCTCTTAGCCAACTTTTGATACGCTTTTTTAAATATCTACTGTTGATTCCTTGCAGACTCTGCTGCAGCCGATGCCCGTACAGAATATGCTGCTCTATCCTAGTCAGGAATATGCCCACTACGAGCGTCCCCAGTCCGCAGTCGGCGGTGGCAACAGCATACAGCAGAATGCGGCGCTGATGCTGGGCAATTTGGCTGGTGGCGGTGGAAGCAGTAGCGGTGCGGTCGGAGGTGCCAATGCCGCGGAACCGAGCTATCCGTTCTTTAGCCTGCGGCCATTAATTGACAGCATTTTCGAGGTAAGTGTGCGCACATCCATAATCTATGTGAAAGCCCGCAGCGCCTTTGCTGCAGACAGCAATTTACTAATCGATGCCTAACTAGCCCGCTTTGCATTTGCTGCAGATACCAATTTCCACTTTGCGCGCCGTCAACAATCTGGTGGGTCGCCTCACGGGCAGCTATCGGCAGGCGCCGGCACCGGATGAGATGCAAAAATCGGTGGCCATAGAGGCGGACGCACCACTGCGCCTGCCGGCGGCCCATCCAGTCGCTATGCCCGGCAACTTTAGGCTCTCAGCAGCAACAACAACAACAGCATCAACGGGCTCAGCTAAGCGCCAGCAAATGCGCGAAGAGCTGGCGTAGTTGAAACAGAGAAAAGAAAAAAAAAAAAGAAAACAGAAACAAGCCGCTTGACATTTACATTTACGTTTACATTGTTCGTAATTAGTTTGTAATTCAACATCGACCTTTGGCCAAGCAAGGGCAAGACGCACACGTTTCTCAGTGTTGTGTGTTAAATGGGCATTTCTATTATTTAGTTTAGTTAAAACAGTAAGTGTTTGTGATTGTTTTATTGTTTTTGCATGTGTGCATGTGTCAGTGTGCGTGCGTCTTTATATTGTTAGTTCATAAATGTTGTCGTTTTTAGTTTTGAATTTGTGATATATGTAAAATTGTTGTAAGTCGTATTTTATTGTATTTATATAACACTCAGAAAAAAAATACAAAATATATGTATAACATTAATTTTCAGTACTCGAGCTCATTGCGAAAATATTTTAACACATATTCTTATGCGTCTGTCTTGATTGTTGTCAAAGTTTTTTCCTCTTCTAATTGTTGTTACTCAAACAATTAGTTCCAAAAAAACACTGTACAACAAACTTGTGCTTAAATTTATGTAAAACTCCCAAAAGTAGGCTTCCAATTTCCCCGGGCACACGTGAATTTAAATAACAAATCATTTTAAAGAAAGTTTGAGGTTTTATAATTCAATCAAAATATATATTTTCTAAATTTAAAGCGTCTGCCGATGATTCAATAGAAAATGGTGACCATCATTTTTTTTGTTGGTTTTATGTGTGCAGCCTGAAAATGGGCAACGGTTTTGTGTTGTATAATTAATTCATGGAAAAATGTCGGGCGCAAAGTGGAGCACACTTTCGAGCGTCGCACAAAAATGCCAGCAGCTTTTACACTGAAGAAAACAAAAACAAAACAAAGTGCGCCTGCAAAAATGTCAACAGCCGCCGCCTGGCCATATCAGCGGGGCGTCAGTCATTGAGAAATCAATGTTTAAAGATTTCCTGGAAAGCAATTTTAAATAACACCAAAAAGATTAAAACATTGCCATAGTTTAAAGGTCTTTAAACGACCATTAATAGAAAGTCTCTCAAGTATTTTATTTATAAATTTAATAATTCTAGGAAATATATATACAATATTTAAAAAATTTAAATGACACCTAAGAGATCAAAGCATTTCAAAAGCATTTAAACAAAAGTTAACCAAATTAAAATGTAGCTAGTAATTCTGGGAAATATATGTCTGACAATTGACAAGATTATTTTTGTATTCGTTTATGATACTGAACTTTAACATTTTATCTAGAATTTTTGTTCACAAAACTAAGAAACGGTGTTTGAATTTGAGCATAAAATAGATATGAGCAAAAATATTATTAGGCTTTTTTGAAGCAATTGAAATCAAATCATAAAAATAAATTTAAAAATCCTTTTTCCATTTTTCCAGCTTACAAATTCTTCAACCTGCTTAAATACTGATGTAAACTGGTTTTAATCAAACATCATTCAGCTGACGATTTCGGTTTAAACAACAGCTTGGCGTTCTAATGATCCATGTATGTAAGTAAATATATAAAATGCGTATACTTGATATGTTTGTGCGGGACGACAATCAATTAGCGAACGAGTTTAGTAATTTCCCAATGTCACAGACTAATGATTAAATTTCATTAGGTTCGGTTTAGAGACGCGTGGCAAATAACTGGAATTAATATTGTAAAATAGAGTTTAATTCAAATGGCTGTGAACAATTCAAGGAAGAGTCCGTCATGCACGCCGATTGAGCCTTTGCTGACCATTAAAAAGGCATTGACTGCCGCCAAATCTAGCGTATTTAATTATTTCGCTGAATGCGTCCCTTTTTTTCTGGCCATTTGAATTCGTTCACGCATTTAAATTTATCAAGCACGTGCCTCCGTGGCCAAACGAATCGAACAAAAGCCAAATACATTTGCCCAAATGCCTGTCCAGAGTCATGCCGCTGTCATTTGAATATTTAATGAGCGCTTATTAGGACAAGAAAGAATAAAAGAAGCGTTTCACCAGCTTCAAAAAAAAAGGCCCACAGCAGCTTCAAAGTTAAATGGCCAATGGCCATGCGGCTTTTGGTATTTGGCATTTGGCATTTGATTCTGTGGCATGGCATTTGTGGCAAAAGCTCAAAGTGCAGTGCGTGAAGTCTGCGGCCAGTTCAACCGCATGCAGTGCACATTTTAATCCATAGTGACGCATAAAAGTGCGTTTCCATGCCACATTCGCCAGTCGAATAACTTCAATGCGACCGTAATGGAAACTCAGCCGCGACTTTATGGTCAACTGCAGCCAGCGGCCTTGCATCATTGCCAAACATTGAACGAAACAACTGGCTCGAAGCGAAATAAAAGCTACACTCCACGGCTCAAGTGATGAAATGGAGTTAATAGTTAATGCAATACTCGGAACCGGTTGCCAGCACTTAAATACTTGCCACTGGGGCGTATGCGCAATTGCACACCACAGCTAAATGCAAGAGTTCATATATACACAGAGAGATATACACTTGTAGAGGGTAGCTTAACTTTGCCATGAAACCGGATCGAACCACTATATCACTATATCGTTTCCATAATTAAGTTCGATTATAAGTTTCTGGTATGAACAACTTTTCGGATTATCTGAAATATTGACCAAGCTCGCGATTTACTTGTCTCCCTATGCTCTTTGCACATAATCCAAGTTCTATCAATATCAGACAAAGTGGCTCGGAATTGAGCATGAAAAGTGTTCTGTTTTCAAGTTAATTTCACCAAACTTGGCATACCAAGCTCACGCTACATCTACAAATTTCTACTAGGGTATTGAATATTCGGCGTGTCAAAAATAGCCCCTGCTTTCTTAATATACATACAACATTTTGTATAGACTTTCATCAGATTCGCGCTTATCTCGCGCACTGTTCAGCTATTCTATTTGTCCATTATAAATATGCAAAAGACATTGAACGAATAAATTCCTATATAAACAGATGTTTGCATTTTAATTGCGACTCAAATCCAGTTCAGCATACATCCAATTCCAGTAGCCAGTAGCCCGAGTAGTTCCCGTCTCGCAGGCAATTTCCATTACGCGTTTCAAGTTTAAGCCCAGCTCAGACTTAGACACAGACACAGACCCAGACTCAGACCCAGACTCTGACTCAGAGTCGGACTCAGTGCTAAACGGCAACGCGACGCGAGTGGACGGGTTTCTTTCGAGTCTGAGATTTATTAAAGTGCAAGAAGCAGAAGCAAGCTCAAATTAAAGGCAAAGCCAGTTCAAAAAAAAAATAAATAAAAACAACAAGTGTACAGGTACAAATTGACAGAACATTTCTACATAATAAGCAGATGCTATGTGTATGAAGAAGCTGGCACGCCCAACGAGTTGTTTCCCAGCTGGTTTTGGCCCGACTACGCCTCTGTGCTGGGCTTGACTGGCTTGAAGAATTCACATTCTCGACTGTCCGGCCGGGTGGTGGACGCGTTTCGCATACCAAAACAGACGAGTCTTTTGTTTTTTTGCAAGCTTCTCTTGCAACGCAGAATAGAGAGCTCACGGCTTTGGGCTGTTTGGCAGCTGTTGGCCAAGCAAGAAATTAATTTTGTTTCACCTGTTTTTCAGCCGCAAAATGTTTGCCCAACTCGGAGCAGTTTGCCTGCTGCTGCTGCTGCAAGCCGCACTGGCCCCGGCACAGGTGAGTTTTTACCAACTAGCCACTAAGTATAAAGCATAAAGTTGTATATTCTTGTTTGTACTTCGAAAACACCTTTCATAACTACGCACTCATGTGTGCTGTGTACTATGTGCTGCGAACTTTGTGATCAAGCTAACCAACTTTATAGCTAACTCTTGCAACAACTTCGACCGGCATGGGCCCAGCCTTGGGCAACAAAACCATTTTGTGGTTAATTCTTGTAGCAATTTTGGTCGGTCCGTTTGCAAAATGCAAATATTTCAATTATTTTCCATGGAACGTACGCATACGCGGCCCATCAAACGCGAGACCTCAAATTGTTTTATTTATTTACAACTGTGCAAAGATTGGCCAGTGCAAATAAACATGCACACTCACAATCAAATAGAGGGTATATGCGGTAGAGCTTTTCAAGAATTTGCTATGAAAAAAAATATATATCATTATATTATCATACACTTGGTTATTTGCCTTAAGTCTGCACATTCTACTTCAATGAAGGACACTCAAACATTTTTTATCATTTCATAAGACAAATTAGCCTAACTTTAAGGCTCTTGACGAATTTTATACCCTTGCAAATATGTGGCAGCTGTCAGGCATATTTTCATATAAAAACATTATTTTTAAAAGATTTTGGCTTTTCAAACTTTTTAATATGACAATCGAATGTTGATTAGAGTGCTAAACATCTCGGCCAACTCAGATATAGATTCTAGACTAGACTAGTTTACTCTGAAATGGATCAGACTATATTTGTTTTAAAGATAAATTGTATCAATAAAAGCCATACATAGTGTGATTGTTGAAGAACAGCATTAAAATCAAATACAATGGATTTACCTAATAATAGCTGAATGACAAATTCTCAAATAGGGCTTCGGCATAAACTTGAACAATCAAACTGATTGCCAATGTTGCACGAGGGTCAAGGGTCAACGCAAGCACAAATACTGGGTGTTGATTTCATTTGCGGTTTGCTGCACATTCAAACGATAACGGGACCAGCTCTTGATTTGCGCCATTTGGCGAGGTCTGGACAATGGGAGGTGGGCGGTGGGAGTTGGTTAGGCAATGTGTGGATTTTGGGCATATTAAATTGTTGCGCAATGCACCGGCTATTAAATGCGGCAATGGAGAATTCTACTATATGGCTATTCAGCAGTTCGTGTAATTGCATACCAAGACGCAAGCGGTAATTACTTTTGAACATTAAAGCGCCGCGCGGGTAACTCATTAACCCACAAGCACGACTAGTGTGTGCAAGTGTAGTTCGAGCATCGTTCATGTGTGTATGTGTGTGTGTGTGTGTGTGTGTGTCTGTTGATTTCACTCCTTGGCCGGAGCTAACGATTATACATATATCATTTTAATAACAGCGGCTACCTTGAACTTTCAACCAGCCTATGTGCAATCTGATATGGCTTTGAGACAATCACAAATGGAGGGTAATTATACACTTGGACGAACTCTAATATGGCGTGTCTGCACGCTCGTTTGTTTGCTGCTCTGATTAACTTTGCAGCTTATAGTCCGATCTTTATGAAATAAGAAGCTTCTAACTGATACTTGCGGGGCTGTGTATACTCCAAGATATTCTACATACCAAAGTATGTTGTCTTCAACTCTTATAAGCTCAGTTATATGATCATAAACAGGATGTCGAAATCGTTTCCTAATGATTTCGTGGAAACTCGATAATTGAAAATAGACTCAATCTTTTCGTGCAATCGCTGAAAGTACAATCTATATTTCAGGCCAGGTACTTATGGAATACAGGAAATGAAGACAGGCGGACATGACTAGAGTCACTTATCCAATTGCCATAAGGGTTACGTGAAGCGTTCTTCTGCATGTTACATACGATTGCAGGATTCCTTTCCAACCTTTTTATACATTTTCAACAAGTTCATGTTAGAGAATGAGACTGATCAGTCTGAAAAGGAGTTAATTGTCATGTTAAGTGCAAAGAGTTATAAGGCTACACTCACAGGGACAAATAGCATTAATTTGTAACTCACACAATTTTATATCATATAGGCAGAATCGTTACCTCTTTATTTATTTGGCGGGACTCTGAACGAGCATTAAGCAGTCGGTTGCACCCAGTGGCCACGTTCTTAGCAATTTTTAGCTAATTACGCATACGCCGCATTGTGCAAGCCCCCGCCAAATGCGGCGCATATTTTCACTGCAAGACAACATGCATGCATGTGTAGGCATGTTTGTGTGTGTGTGTGTGTGTGTGTGTGTGTGTGTAAAACACTTGTCCGCATAGCAGCCATGCTGTCGCGTGTCCTGTCAGTTTTTGGGTGCTGGCTGCATCCGGGCCGTGCCGCCTGTCAAGGGGCGCTCAGGTGGCAAAAGGCCAAACGTGGCCCGTTGCGGACGACCTCGCCGGCAAGTTGTAAAACATGTTAGCCCGCGGGGTGTTTAGGTGCTGGGCGTATCTTCGCGCCGCACTCTTTGTTTGTCTGCTGCAGTTTTTTTTAGGTCCAGTTTTTTTTTTTTGTTGCTCGCCGGATGTCGTCGAGCCAAAGTTTTCGGGGCTGCCGCAAGCCGTAACAATTTTGGGCACTTTGCGCGGCGGCGACCGCAACTTGAAAATCTCTGCAGCTTGGGTTTATTTCTATTTGTTTACGGGCACGGCGCTGGCGGGCGACTAGAATTTAGATTTTAATCAACGCATGCATGAAATTTGCATTTGTTAGGCGGCCAGCAAAAAAAAAAAAGAGAGAAAAACAACCCAAAAATAAATATATATATATATATATATATACAAAGCCACAGCCACTAAATTGTGGTGTGTGTGTGTCGTGGGAATTGTACACAATTGAAATTGAAATTAAGGGCCGCGTAATGGTCTTTTTTGTAAAGGGTTGCAGCCAGAGTTATAATTTTGGCTCAGCTTTCATGGTAAATTCATGCAAATACTCTAAGCGCTTTATTTTGGGGCCAAATACTTTGCGGCAGCAAGTCACAAAGAGTTGGCTGTGGAAAATTATTATAGGTCAAGACCCGAGTTACTTTAAGCATTGTCTGTGGCCTTAGGACCGCTGCAATCTGCAATCTGCAGCGTAAATTAGCACAACACAATGTCCCGTTCGGGTCGAATGTTTATGTTTTGGCAGCATTCAAAGAATTGACGCTCCGATGTTTATCAACAAATTCTGTCAGCTCCGTAAATAAAGTGCAAATATAGACATTTACAAGCAACACACTCAAGTTATCAACTCACTTGCCGAGCCACAGCAAAATTCAATGAATTCGTGCAAATATTTAACAAGCTAACAAAGCACAAACAGCTCTTCACATAATGCCAAATAAATGTTTTCAATTTAATGCAGCGGTTCAAATAGTTCCTATAAATAAGATGTCCTTTTGTTGTTCAGCTGACTTCAGCCCCAAGCACAGTTGGGTTCTTTCTTTTGAACGTTTCGCGGAACAATGGCGAATGGCGAATTAGTTTCATAAATTTTAGAAGTATATTGCTAACTTTTCAAAGAAGCTTTTGGGAGTTAGATGTGACTGTCATCTTTTGCATTGTTTTGAGGGGAATATTAAACAGGTTTTCCAGATCAACACAAAAGAATAGCATATATTAGACGGTTATAAAGTGAGATAAGTAAACTAGATAAAAACAATGTCAGTGCATTTGTACACAGTGCAAAGGTTATCAAAATTTATTTATGACTCGTGAAGGCATTTGTGATATATAAACCTGATAGCGACGCAACAATGAGCTGTTGAGGGATGGAAAAATTATATTGAAATTTTGTAATATTTTTCATTTTTATAAGACAAACAATTATTAAAAATGACAATCATAAAAACAGCTGAATTTAAATTAGAATTTTTTAAATATATATAATTTATATAATAAAAATTATACCTTTAATGATAAAAATTTAACAATAATAATTAATAAAATAACAAGAATATAAATGAAGATTTGAAAAACAGCAGAAGAAAAAACCAACAAATTGAACAATTGTTTAGGTAGATTAATTTAAAAATTTCACAGCTTAAAATCTGTTTTTGATAATTTCGAAAATTAGATACTTAACTGAATAAATCGGTTTTTATATCGTTGTCAGGCGGAATTATTAGCGCTTAACTAACCTAAAGTATCGAATCGCAAGAATTCAGGATTTTTGTTTTGATTATAAATAATATGTTCATTATCAATTAAACTAAATAAATATTGCAAAAGTATTTTATTAAAAAATAACGATTTTTATCGATAAAATTATCGTAGTTTGCAGCCCTAATATGATGTTTAAAGGCCAAAGACAATATTAATAATACAATATTTGTTTATTCTAATCAGATAAAATGGTAGTTTTGCTTAAACTCTAATAAAACTCTCTGATCAAGCAATTAATTATTTTCTATAGAAAACGCAATTGTTTTGTTTTGATTACCGTGCATAAACTAACGCACGTGTGAGTCATTCAATTAATATCTATTGGGGCTTAGCTTTTACGTAAAAGTGGATTAATTGAATGCATATAGACTTACTAGTCACAGTCACTAATGACATATATGAATACTTTATGAAGTTGTAGGCATAAAAACAGCCATTCGGCAGATGGAAATTGCCCTGATTGAAGTCGAACAGGTAAAAGTAAAGCGCAAAATCAGCTCTTGAATGATGCGATTGCTCACAACTATAGATATATTATTTCTTAATCGGCCTAAAGCCTCTTACGTGCATATTGTACTTTAAGTGGGGCTGCTGGGGGAGGTAGGGAGGTAGTTTTCGAATTAAGCTGCATTTATCAGGCGCTTAAAGCGACTTACGCCTGCAAACCAAACCGCTAAGCGGCTGTCTGTGTAGGTGTGTGTGTGTGTGAGTGTGTGTGCGGATGGGAGGATGCTTTTGTGGGTAAGGCTGTGTGGGTGGGTGTGGGTTGGTTGTGAGTGGGCGCATTTGCATCTCATTACGAGTAGCTGCAACAGCAGCATCCGCGGCTTCTGTCAAGACGTCGCACAATGTTAAATTTCGACGTGTCGTCAGCCCGTATGTGTGCGTGCGTGTGTGTGTGCATGCGTGTGTTTGTGTGTAACTTATAATGCAATTTTCACATTTTTCATCCTAATAAGCGCAACTCATGCTCTTAATTATGAAATTATTATAATTTAGTTAGCAACTGTCTGTCGCCGAGCAGGAAGCCGACTGCGTCGAATTCCAACTTTAATTAGAAGTTAATTAAGTTGTGAGACACACAAAAAAAAAAAAAAAAACAACAAAATTGTTAATAAAACACACAGCAGCAGCAAAGTACACAGAACGTCAGTGCGTGTGAGCTAAATGGAGATGGGAGAGTGCAAATGAGATGGGAAATATGGTAGAGTGGCAAATACTCACCTCAGCTGTCACCTGTGACGCGTTCACAATTCGACACCATAAATGACCAATTGATAGTGCAACACGGGCACGGATCTGTGCCGCTGGAAACGCACCGTGGCATACTGTTGGCCCACACCGCCACCCAAAAGTAGCGCCCGCCCGCCATCGCCCTCGGGCGGCGTCATATCGTAGGCGTGGACCGCCGTAATCGTATAGGCATCGACAGCTTCGGGATTCTGTGTGTGAACAAGTGGATGTAGTATAACATACATATTTCCATGCTGTGTGGACACATGTTTATTACGCTTACCTGTGTGCCATATACAACATCCGTGACATTCACATTCGCATCCGCGAGGTAAACATCTTGTGCATGCAGCGTGCTGGCGTATTTGTTTACCTGCCCCCAGGTGACCGTGGCGCCATCACAGCGCAATGCCGCCAACAGCAGCTGCAGCAGCAGTAGAAGTGGCAGCAACTGGCTGCTGCGCTTGATAAGCAGCGTTGTGTGTGTCAACATGACGACAGGTGGCACAGGCACACATACACAAACACACCCACGCAGACACAGAGACTCAGTTGCCTCCGCTCTGACAGATTCGTGCAACGCGCTAGGTGTGAAACTCAAATGATTCGCCTCCAGGTGACCAGGTTAAATATTGTCGCTTTGTCTACCTTCAAATTGCTTATCAGTTGCACGTTTTTTTTTTTCGCTTTTGTTTTTTATTGTTTTACCGCTCTCTCTTGGCTGGCAGCAGTCGTGCCTCATTTATTGCACATTGTTTTCTTTTAACGCGCGCTCCGCTCCGTCTGTCAACTCTGATAATATCATTTGCTGAGGCTGTTGTTTGTTTTGAGTCTTGTGCAGCCGGCGTTCTCCACAAGGCAGTCTGCATTCATAACCATTATATGCTATACTGACACATTAAAAACTCGCTCGCGACTCGAGTTGCGACTGACGCTTATCAGCTTATCATTTACTTTGATATAGATTTGTGTGTCGGTAGCGCTCCCATTTACGTAAATGTTAACGGTTTAAGCTGATCAAATATGAAATAACAACTGAAAACTGTGCAAATATTTAAAATTTATTTTGAAACATGTAATGTGTACGTTTACAAAGGGAACAGCCCACACAGGTACACATATGGCATTGGGAAATCGGAATTTTGGGCCTACGCTGCAGAGAGAGAGGAAAAATTTATGACGAAATGTATAGACTAGTAGATAAGATGAGGAACAGATATTGGGGCATAGAATATTGACACTTTATTCATATAGACATCCAATCAATGTCATTATTTTGAGGAAAATATAAGGTTGGCCCTACTTATTAGACATATTAAATCATAACAATGCTCTTCAGCAAACATTACATTACATTATTGTGTCATGTTAGGGAGCATTATTTTTGGTCATAAAGGAAGATATTTCGGATTCCCACAAAATGCATATATAATTGCCATGAACCCATGCATAGGTCCCATTTGTGCTGGCCAGCTCGTCCTATCTTGAGCTGAAAAGAGGTCAACACCTTACTCAGCTGCAGAATTAAAAATAAATAAGACTAAAGAACAATAGCTGCCGCCTAACACAATTCTATTATTTTGCTTTGTTCTTTCTAAAATGATAAGAAGTTGGAACATTCAAAGAAAAGTAACATTAACAATTAATGAAAGGCTCTCAGAGGCCTTCTATTACTCACTCTTCACATATAAATAACTGATAAAATTGATTTATGTTTTTCGAAAACTAAACTTCAATTGAACAAACTTACTATTGGAAGACTTAAAACTACCATTCAAATCGTATAAATCATATTTGAGGAACAGAAGTTCCGCTCAAATTGAAATTTATGATTTAAGAGCAGGTCTCATTGATATTTTGCTCCGCAAACGCAGGTGTTCAATCGAATCTCGTTCGTATTTCAGTCATTTTTAAGAAAGTTAGCAAACCTAATTTAAATTGATTGAAGCTTTTTGGCTACTAGTTCTTTGGGGCAGGAAGCAGTCGGCACCGCACACTGCCCGGTAGCCCGGGATTATTATGTGTATAAACTTGTTGCCCACCTGTACCTTTTGCAGTAATATCTGCAGGTGTTCAGTCAAAGTTTTTGGACTCAAAAACTTTTACTATTTGTAAAAAATGGCGCCGGCATCTTGTGTACAAAGTTTCGGCGTGCCTAAACAATGAGCGCAACTTTCAATAGCATTAAGTATACGCCATGTATAACTAACTTTGGCCAACTCACTGCACCACACTCAGCTCATCTCTCTAATCTGTATCGTATCTTCGTCCCACAGCTGATTACACTGCGCGATGGCAAGGTGGACGTTAATTTCGCCGGCTACCATGCAGATGCCGGACTCGGCGGCTTGCTGACAGGCAACGCAGCCCACGGCGGACTCAGCGCCTCGGCGGGCACCCCTTGGGGATCGCGTGCCGCAGCTGGTATTGGTGGCGGTCTTAACGGTAATACAACGCATTTATTAATTTGATTTTGATTTACACATTTTAATCCAACACATTCGTAGGACGCACGGCTGGCGGTGCATATGCAGCGGCTCAGGCCAACGATGACGTCGGTGCCAGCGCCCTGCTCGGCGGTAGCGTAGGCGAGCGCGGCTATATCGGCTCCGAGGCGCACGTTCCCGGCAAGGTATCCATCCATTCCGCACAAGTCAGTCCACAACATGTGACCTCTGGTCCACCGGCTGCTGACGATTTGCCTCCAGTACTGCCAACGGCGCCCAGCCATATCCAGAAGGTCAAGCCGCCCAAAAAATATTCGCTGATTGCACAACATGTAAGTTAATGCAGAAGATTTTGAATATAAGCTTGTTAATGCCGCCGTATGAAACACCTACATCGTCTGGATATTGTTTAGAATATTGTTGCATAATATGCAATGTCATCATTGACTGGCAGGGCTTTTATAATATTAAAAATTGAAACAAATTTGCAAGCGATTCAATGAGTCAATATTAACACAACATCAGCATATGCTTAGACATCCGTTTTTATTTTTCCATTTTACCATCTGGTTTTTATTAAGAAAAGGAACATAAAAGCACTGTGAAATGGTCGACAATATGCCTGAAAAATATCTCATATATATAATAATTGCAGGGTCTATAGAAGTGTGTAAAACTCTAAAGATATCAAAACTCTAAACTTGCCAGATTCCAGCTAATATTTGCCAAATGTTGTATAGATAGAGACATATTTATTTTTATTTTAGAGAATCAACCAGTTAGCTTGATTTGCTGGAGATATTTCATCAAGATATCCAACATTTGTTTGGGCCCATATAAATTACTAAAAAATTAGCGTTATGCTAATTAACAAATGGTGTCTGACAGCTTTGACGGCTTTAACTATATTCGACTATATTTGATATTTTTAATGGAATATAATTCACTTATTAAATATGGCTTAAAGGCATATATTGCTAACTTTTCAAAGAAGCTTTTGGGAGTTAGATGTGACTGTCATCTTTTGCATTGTTTTGAGGGGAATATTAAACAGGTTTTCCAGATCAACACAAAAGAATAGCATATATTAGACGGTTATAAAGTGAGATAAGTAAACTAGATAAAAACAATGTCAGTGCATTTGTACACAGTGCAAAGGTTATCAAAATTTATTTATGACTCGTGAAGGCATTTGTGATATATAAACCTGATAGCGACGCAACAATGAGCTGTTGAGGGATGGAAAAATTATATTGAAATTTTGTAATATTTTTCATTTTTATAAGACAAACAATTATTAAAAATGACAATCATAAAAACAGCTGAATTTAAATTAGAATTTTTTAAATATATATAATTTATATAATAAAAATTATACCTTTAATGATAAAAATTTAACAATAATAATTAATAAAATAACAAGAATATAAATGAAGATTTGAAAAACAGCAGAAGAAAAAACCAACAAATTGAACAATTGTTTAGGTAGATTAATTTAAAAATTTCACAGCTTAAAATCTGTTTTTGATAATTTCGAAAATTAGATACTTAACTGAATAAATCGGTTTTTATATCGTTGTCAGGCGGAATTATTAGCGCTTAACTAACCTAAAGTATCGAATCGCAAGAATTCAGGATTTTTGTTTTGATTATAAATAATATGTTCATTATCAATTAAACTAAATAAATATTGCAAAAGTATTTTATTAAAAAATAACGATTTTTATCGATAAAATTATCGTAGTTTGCAGCCCTAATATGATGTTTAAAGGCCAAAGACAATATTAATAATACAATATTTGTTTATTCTAATCAGATAAAATGGTAGTTTTGCTTAAACTCTAATAAAACTCTCTGATCAAGCAATTAATTATTTTCTATAGAAAACGCAATTGTTTTGTTTTGATTACCGTGCATAAACTAACGCACGTGTGAGTCATTCAATTAATATCTATTGGGGCTTAGCTTTTACGTAAAAGTGGATTAATTGAATGCATATAGACTTACTAGTCACAGTCACTAATGACATATATGAATACTTTATGAAGTTGTAGGCATAAAAACAGCCATTCGGCAGATGGAAATTGCCCTGATTGAAGTCGAACAGGTAAAAGCAAAGCGCAAAATCAGCTCTTGAATGATGCGATTGCTCACAACTATAGATATATTATTTCTTAATCGGCCTAAAGCCTCTTACGTGCATATTGTAGTTTAAGTGGGGCTGCTGGGGGAGGTAGGGAGGTAGTTTTCGAATTAAGCTGCATTTATCAGGCGCTTAAAGCGACTTACGCCTGCAAACCAAACCGCTAAGCGGCTGTCTGTGTAGGTGTGTGTGTGTGTGAGTGTGTGTGCGGATGGGAGGATGCTTTTGTGGGTAAGGCTGTGTGGGTGGGTGTGGGTTGGTTGTGAGTGGGCGCATTTGCATCTCATTACGAGTAGCTGCAACAGCAGCATCCGCGGCTTCTGTCAAGACGTCGCACAATGTTAAATTTCGAATTCCAACTTTAATTAGAAGTTAATTAAGTTGTGAGACACACAAAAAAAAAAAAACAACAAAATTGTTAATAAAACACACAGCAGCAGCAAAGTACACAGAACGTCAGTCCGTGTGAGCTAAATGGAGATGGGAGAGTGCAAATGAGATGGGAAATATGGTAGAGTGGCAAATACTCACCTCAGCTGTCACCTGTGACGCGTTCACAATTCGACACCATAAATGACCAATTGATAGTGCAACACGGGCACGGATCTGTGCCGCTGGAAACGCACCGTGGCATACTGTTGGCCCACACCGCCACCCAAAAGTTGCGCCCGCCCGCCATCGCCCTCGGGCGGCGTCATATCGTAGGCGTGGACCGCCGTAATCGTATAGGCATCGACAGCTTCGGGATTCTGTGTGTGAACAAGTGGATGTAGTATAACATACATATTTCCATGCTGTGTGGACACATGTTTATTACGCTTACCTGTGTGCCATATACAACATCCGTGACATTCACATTCGCATCCGCGAGGTAAACATCTTGTGCATGCAGCGTGCTGGCGTATTTGTTTACCTGCCCCCAGGTGACCGTGGCGCCATCACAGCGCAATGCCGCCAACAGCAGCTGCAGCAGCAGTAGAAGTGGCAGCAACTGGCTGCTGCGCTTGATAAGCAGCGTTGTGTGTGTCAACATGACGACAGGTGGCACAGGCACACATACACAAACACACCCACGCAGACACAGAGACTCAGTTGCCTCCGCTCTGACAGATTCGTGCAACGCGCTAGGTGTGAAACTCAAATGATTCGCCTCCAGGTGACCAGGTTAAATATTGTCGCTTTGTCTACCTTCAAATTGCTTATCAGTTGCACGTTTTTTTTTTTCGCTTTTGTTTTTTATTGTTTTACCGCTCTCTCTTGGCTGGCAGCAGTCGTGCCTCATTTATTGCACATTGTTTTCTTTTAACGCGCGCTCCGCTCCGTCTGTCAACTCTGATAATATCATTTGCTGAGGCTGTTGTTTGTTTTGAGTCTTGTGCAGCCGGCGTTCTCCACAAGGCAGTCTGCATTCATAACCATTATATGCTATACTGACACATTAAAAACTCGCTCGCGACTCGAGTTGCGACTGACGCTTATCAGCTTATCATTTACTTTGATATAGATTTGTGTGTCGGTAGCGCTCCCATTTACGTAAATGTTAACGGTTTAAGCTGATCAAATATGAAACAACAACTGAAAACTGTGCAAATATTTAAAATTTATTTTGAAACATGTAATGTGTACGTTTACAAAGGGAACAGCCCACACAGGTACACATATGGCATTGGGAAATCGGAATTTTGGGCCTACGCTGCAGAGAGAGAGGAAAAATTTATGACGAAATGTATAGACTAGTAGATAAGATGAGGAACAGATATTGGGGCATAGAATATTGACACTTTATTCATATAGACATCCAATCAATGTCATTATTTTGAGGAAAATATAAGGTTGGCCCTACTTATTAGACATATTAAATCATAACAATGCTCTTCAGCAAACATTACATTACATTATTGTGTCATGTTAGGGAGCATTATTTTTGGTCATAAAGGAAGATATTTCGGATTCCCACAAAATGCATATATAATTGCCATGAACCCATGCATAGGTCCCATTTGTGCTGGCCAGCTCGTCCTATCTTGAGCTGAAAAGAGGTCAACACCTTACTCAGCTGCAGAATTAAAAATAAATAAGACTAAAGAACAATAGCTGCTGCCTAACACAATTCTATTATTTTGCTTTGTTCTTTCTAAAATGATAAGAAGTTGGAACATTTTAAGAAAAGTAACATAATCAATTAATGAAAGGCTCTCAGAGGAATCTATTACTCACTCTTCACATATAAATAACTGATAAAATTGATTTATGTTTTTCGAAAACTAAACTTCAATTGAACAAACTTACTATTGGAAGACTTAAAACTACCATTCAAATCGTATAAATCATATTTGAGGAACAGAAGTTCCGCTCAAATTGAAATTTATGATTTAAGAGCAGGTCTCATTGATATTTTGCTCCGCAAACGCAGGTGTTCAATCGAATCTCGTTCGTATTTCAGTCATTTTTAAGAAAGTTAGCAAACCTAATTTAAATTGATTGAAGCTTTTTGGCTACTAGTTCTTTGGGGCAGGAAGCAGTCGGCACCGCACACTGCCCGGTAGCCCGGGATTATTATGTGTATAAACTTGTTGCCCACCTGTACCTTTTGCAGTAATATCTGCAGGTGCTCAGTCAAAGTTTTTGGACGCAAAAACTTTTACTATTTGTAAAAAATGGCGCCGGCATCTTGTGTACAAAGTTTCGGCGTGCCTAAACAATGAGCGCAACTTTCAATAGCATTAAGTATACGCCATGTATAACTAACTTTGGCCAACTCACTGCACCACACTCAGCTCATCTCTCTAATCTGTATCGTATATTCGTCCCACAGCTGATTACACTGCGCGATGGCAAGGTGGGCGTTAATTTCGCCGGCTACCATGCAGATGCCGGACTCGGCGGCTTGCTGACAGGCAACGCAGCCCACGGCGGACTCAGCGCCTCGGCGGGCACCCCTTGGGGATCGCGTGCCGCAGCTGGTATTGGTGGCGGTCTTAACGGTAATACAACGCATTTATTAATTTGATTTTGATTTACACATTTTAATCCAACACATTCGTAGGACGCACGGCTGGCGGTGCATACGCAGCGGCTCAGGCCAACGATGACGTCGGTGCCAGCGCCCTGCTCGGCGGTAGCGTAGGCGAGCGCGGCTATATTGGGTCCGAGGCGCACGTTCCCGGCAAGGTATCCATCCATTCCGCACAAGTCAGTCCACAACATGTGACCTCTGGTCCACCGGCTGCTGACGTTTTGCCTCCAGTACTGCCAACGGCGCCCAGCCATATCCAGAAGGTCAAGCCGCCCAAAAAATATTCGCTGATTGCACAACATGTAAGTTAATGCAGAAGATTTTGAATATAAGCTTGTTAATGCCGCCGTATGAAACACCTACATCGTCTAGATATTGTTTAGAATATTGTTGCATAATATGCAATGTCATCATTGACTGGCAGGGCTTTTATAATATTAAAAATTGAAACAAATTTGCAAGCGATTCAATGAGTCAATATTAACACATCAGCATATGCTTAGACATCCGTTTTTATTTTTCCATTTTACCATCTGGTTTTTATTAAGAAAAAGAACATAAAAGCACTGTGAAATGGTCGACAATATGCCTGAAAAATATCTCATATATATAATAATTGCAGGGTCTATAGAAGTGTGTAAAACTCTAAAGATTTCAGAACTCTAAACTTGCCAGATTCCAGCTAATATTTGCCAAATGTTATATAGATAGAGACATATTTATTTTTATTTTAGAGAATCAACCAGTTAGCTTGATTTGCTGGAGATATTTCATCAAGATATCCAATATTTGTTTGGGCCCATAGAAATTGCTAAAAAATTAGCGTTATGCTAATTAACAAATGGTGTCTGACAGCTTTGACGGCCTTAACTATATTCGACTATATTTGATATTTTTAATGGAATATATTTCACTTATTAAATATGGCTTAAAGGCATATTTTAGCCAAAAGCCAATGCTCAGCGCGGCAATACTGTGTGCCGGAATGTGTTTGCGTATGTTATATTTAATTTAAGCTCGTGTTGAATGCCAACAGCACACAAATCGAAATGTATGTGTGTGTGTGTGTGTGTGTGTGTGTCTGGTTGTGTGTTGAACCCTCCCTAATCTATCCATGTTCAGTCAGACCACAGTACGACCACTCAAATCAATGAAAATCATGTTCAGACCGCTGCAGCTCTGCCAGCCGCAGAGGTCGAACTGAATAGACAGGAGCCGACGCCTCTAATAATTGTGAAGCGACCACGCCTACGTGTGAAACGCCCACGTCAAAGGCAGCGCACCGTTTACAGAACGCAGGTGTTCGTCGAAGAGGATCAGGAGCAGCTGCAGCCACAAGGGGAGCACCAAAAGTCACACTCTGACGAGTCGGCGAAGGTAACAAACTGTCAAAATAGCCACGAGAGCAGCGCAAACAAACGCAGACACAGGCGTTGGGTGGCAGAGAAAGCCAACAGCACACGCACACAAACAGACATATGCACACGTATATACACACACACACACACACACACACACACACACACACCCACACAACACCCACTGTCCAGCAAACAGCAGACAGCATTTAGATATGGAAAATGGCCAGAAGCAACAGCTTTTGGCTTTTGGTTGCAACTTTCGCTTTTGGGTCAAAATATTTGACCACTTTATGCTGTAAATTTATTTAAAACGTTTTGTGGGCACTTTTTATTTTGGATATTTATTTTTATTTTTTTGTATCCTTCTGGCGCGCCAGCAGCTGCTGCTCCAACTTGTTGAAATATTTTCAATAATTTTTGCATGTATTTTACATTCTGATTATTATGCTCGTTCACAGAGTTTAAAGAGAGTATATTGGATTTCTGCGATGCCCGCCCGTTTGTCTGAATTCAACTTAAGATAAGGTCTGGAAACAGACCAAAAAGTAGCAGCATTTCTACTTAGGAACAAATTTAATGCCAGATTATTGGCATCTACTGAATTTGTTGTGCTTCAGCTTAAAATTCATATTATCAACTTTTTCTTCAATATATTTCGGCTCTCCTGGAATAGGACTTTCATTAGAACATAACTTGCCCAAAAGATACTCCCAAACATATACATTTATCGGATAGTCCATTTTCAGAATTCTATCAAGCTGTGAACGAGTATTACGCAGTCGGTTGCAATCGACTTGTTTGTGTTTTGTTCGTTTAGTTTTGGTGGCAGCGAAATTTAATTTCTGGCATTTATTTAGCTTTTGGTTTTATTAGCCATGTTTTTTGCCTGCCATTTATTTTCATAGCCAGCATGAATTGGCAATTTTTTCGTTGTCGCTATATATAAATATATTTTGTTTTTGCACACACAGGCGACGCCCAAGAGTGAGGCCAAGGTGGTGCAAACGCGCAAGTACGCAAAGGTCGCCAGCCAGAGGCCGCAGGGTGTCGAAGGCCACGTCATTGCGCCGCAGGCCCAAGGAGTTGTGGGCAACGCACTTGAGGTGAGTAACTTGAGCTCCCGTCGTCGTCTACTGTGTAAATGTCCACTTAATTGTTTGCACATATTCAAACTTTCCGTAGATACCCATTGGCATTTTGCGCTCCCTGCAGGTGAGCCTGGGCGCCTTGACGGGTGGACAGCCTTTGCCGCAGTAGGCCGCTCAGCCCTTCCAGGGTTAAGTGCACATATATAGCGCATAAGTTTATACTCAATGTCATATAATCAATAAAGCCAAATTAAGTGGTAAAACAATAGCGAACTAAGTCACTCCTCACAAGCGGAACAAAATCAAAACTTGAATTTAACTTGCATATGTGCTTAATCCATCATCTGTCCAATTCTACCATTGTGTCGAGGGTGCTCGAGACAAACAAGATGTACTTAATAGGATTACAGCAGGGATTAATCGCGTATTTAAAAAACTTCAAAGTAAATAATTACACTTTAAATTCGCATAAGAAAGACAATGACAAGCTGAGCTCAGTTGACTTTTGGAAAAGCAACAGTTTTGGTAAATAAATCCTCCTGCTCCTTGTGAAAATTAAAGACGTGCTTTCATAACAAACACGGGTAAGTTTACTTTCCTTTTTGAATGTATTTATGTATGTATTTATGTGTGTAATATATATATATTTAGGCATGTATGTTACCTAATCCCAATGCAAATAAAACTCTTAATCTAACATTCTTGTACTCTCTGCCTTTTTCTCTCTCTCCATCTCTCTCTCTCGCCCTCTCTCATTTTATTTAATTTCATTTACTTTTAGTGATGGGCATTTATAAATTTTGATCGCATGTAGATGGAAATATACTTACCAAGCGTCCGCGAATTTTACGGTATGTATATTTGTGCACATACATTTATGATTTAAGGAAATCCAGACCCTGGGCACGGATTATCTCATATCATATTATTAGTATATGATATAGCAAATCAGTCGAGCCCTAAAGCATTTTACATTCACATTTTTCCTTGTATTGGCCATTTGGTGATAATAAATTGCGTCTTGCAGCCGTATTCAAATTAACGCTTGCAAAAATACATCCAAAGACAAATGTTTGCACAATTTATGAGAAGTTGTGTTGTATTGTCAAAGGCGTTCCTGATTTAATTTAAGATGAGCCATTTTATTTGAGTCCATTTACTTGGTGAAAAGGTCGCTGCATAAAATGAAAAACCACAGCAATGCCAACAACTACAACATCTACAACAACAATATACTATATAGTTTCATATCTGCTCTAAGAGAGCTCTAGTTTCTATGAACTTGGTATACGTCGAGCTGCAAATACGAATTGTTCGAAAACATATTGTGCTCGAAATTCAACTTTATACAGGAAATACCAACGCGTCGTACTTGTTTATTTAGGAGCTGCTGGGCAGACCCTCAGATAAGATACGGCGGACAAGAATATACGCACATACAACTAACACATACTAGTCGCGTGTGTGTGTGTGTGTGTATTGGCTGGGGCTGTGTGTGTGTGTGTGTGTGTAGGACGTGGCAGAGCAAAATATTTCACACTCTGTAACCACAGGCACTTGTGCGAGGGGACAAAGCAGCGGGTAACAGTCCACACATGTCTGAATGCTTAACACACACACACACACACACACACACACATGCTAACACACATGTGTGCTGTATGCACGTTTTGTGTAAATATGCTTAAACACCTCGGGCTTTTATGCTTTTAACCCTTTGCCGCATAAAGTCGCCACTGCCTGAGTGTGAAAGCGCCTGTGTGTGTAAGTGTCTGTGTGTGTGTGTGTGTGTGTGTGTGTGTGTGTGTGTGTGTGTGTGTACGCGTGCGTGGGTGTGTGTCCGCGAGTCTGTTAGCCTTAGCGCCAGTTTGTTTAGAGCAAAATGAATGCCCAAGCGGCGGCTTGTGGCTGCCGTTTGAATTTCTTAATTAATTGTGTTTGGAATATATTGCCATTTAGCGCCTGGTGCCTGCTGCAAGTTATGCCTACCCTCCTCAGCTGACCCTCGTCCTAAGCCCAACCCCTTATATACATAAGAAAAAGTACACGTAAACATAGACCAAAAGAAATTATCCGTTAATATAAACACACACATGAAATAAAAACAGCATAATTTTAAATTGAAATCAAAACAAAAAAAGGGCAGACACGTCGGGCATTACCCGGCTTTACACGGTCCAAAGAGTTAGATGCAAATTTCCAAACATTTCTTGAGGTCCTCAAAATAAAACATTACTAACTTACAGGCAGCAGTTGTTAATGAGCTAAATATTATTTAAATAAATTCTTATAGCTATCTTGGAAAATGCTTTTGAGCCCAAAACGTTGCCCAATTTTCACCACTTCTCCAATGAATGAAATAAGTTTCACCCATCCGTTTTCCACCCATTTTCCACGGCTTCGTGTGGAATTTACAGAAACTAAGCTTGCTTCCGCCAGTATTTCACCTTCCCAGCTCTAGCTCAGTCAATCAGTCCGTCAGGCAGGTCAACCAGTTCTATATTTAGACAAATATGTGGGAGTAGTTATGTATTCAGGCATTTCACATCAAATTGAGTCAACACATAATTGTTTGACTCAGTCGCTTCTGGGGCCAGCAGGGTTAACAACGGGCCGCAGAATCCACAATTTGTGGGCCGCATTAAATTTAACGCACGTGCGGCACAAATTATATTTACAGTACATTTGTACATACGCATGTATGTGTTTATATTCGTATATATATATTAGCAATTTCTAATTTATAAAATAAAAAGCCAGCTGAAAATTGAAAAGGTTTTTTTGGCTTTGTTTCGTGTTGCCAAGCGTTGAACATTTTTTTTTATATATTTGTGCCGTGGGCGAGGGAAAATTTCAAAAAGAAATAAACCAAAGCAAAAGGCAAACTTGTATACACATGCCAACACACTCACGCACACACTCACACACGCACACACTCAGGCCCAGGCGTGCGACGAGCTTGCGCGCGCCGAAAGGTAGGCAACAGAAAATGGTGTGCACCCTGGCGTATTCATGATTCGCTGTGCCGAGCTTGAAAACTGCAAGTTGAGCTGCTAAGGCATTTACACTATGCTGCAAAATGTTGAACCAAATGCCAAAACCGATTAGCGTGCTATTGTCTGTAGCTATCTTTTCAGATTCATTGAATTGATTGCCTCAATTGCCGGAGTTTTACCTTTTTGAGTGTGCGACTCACTGTTAACCAGTGTAATTACCACTTCTTACTTATTGCATTGTTGTGGATTTTGTATTTATTCCAAATAGCGTCCAGTGGGCAACTAATTGTAAGTTGAACAGAAGATGGTTTTTCAAATGCCGGCAGGCAAAACTTCAACACATACACATATTTGTATATTGTAGCCAATATTGAAGGAAATTTACATTAAAGTGCCTGTTGGCGGTTTAGCTCGCCGAGCTGGCGTGGCATTTTATAAATATTCATTGCCCGAGTTTGTGGAAATTGAGTGCAAACAGGTGAATATAAATATTCATATTTGGCTATATACATACGCCCTTGCCGTATTATAAACTTTACACAGCGAGACAGAGAGATAGCGAGATAGAGAGAGAGAGAGAGAGAGAGAGAGAAAGCCCAGAAGCTTTTCATCTGAAGTAATTTAAGTTGCCTGGCTTGTGTGTTCAGCTTTAATCCTAATTTTATTGTGCAATTATAAGCATATAAGGTATATACACATACACAGATTTGTTTATTTACGCCAAAAGCATATTAAGTTGGAATAATTTAAATTTAAGCATAATTAATTAGTCGACACCATTTAATTGAGCCAATGTGATTGCAGCCCCAAGCTGTAGACTGTAGCCATATGCAAATTCGCAAGTTGCCACGTGCTACCCAACCGGGCTTTGGTGTATCAACACAAACATAAACAGCTCATGAACACACACGCACACGCACACGCACACTCACTCGCACACACACACGCAGCACAACACAATATGTACGTTCTGTTCAGATATTAACCAGCTTGTGACATCATTTTATGCAAATGCATATGGAAATGTGAATGAGTTGGTGACCAATAAATTATATAAGTATATAGCATCGGAAGTAACAATAAGAGTAAGCTTTTAATGTCACCTTTACAATCTGTGCAGGTAGTTGTTATGCTAATTGAATTGAAGATTTATACTCTTGATCTCAAATTCGGTTGCTAAAAATAATATTTAATTAAATTAAATACATAAGCTATAATTGGCCTATTTGCTTATATAAAACAGTTTGTCCCGAGTGACAGCCCAAACAGAAAGAGCTAAGATTTTGAAATTCTTACTGTAGCTACGTTTCCTGATGAAGGTTCTCTATTTGGCAGTTATGGAAAAAATGAGAATTATAGTTACAGCCTCAAACTCAAAGATCAATCTTCAAATTCAATTGAGAGCTGTTCTTCTTAGATGAAGAATTCAGGTCAAAGCAAGCTTTTATATCCACTGCAAGGTCTAAGATGATCAGAAAGTGTTGATTCCAACACTGATTGGTTCTCAATTCCATAGATTCTACCTATTCGCTAGTCAGTATATAATTATTTTGTTTCCTATTGAATTGAATACATTTTCTTTAATACATTTCTTGATAATATCACTAAATATTTATCACTTCGCCGAACAGCTGCATCATCTAATTTGATTCTGTTGAAATATAAATGAATATTCATAGTTCTTCGCATGTGAGAGCTGTGGGCAAATTAAACATTATAACATCTTTTAATTTCCATAGAACTCAATTATTCTGACACTAAAAATAAGTATAAATGTTGCCTTGGCAACCAGACTCAAACGTTATCCCACATCTACAACAAGCATAAATAGGTTCTAAATATGTATAAGCCAAGAGCTGACACCCCCTTACCCCTCCCCCTCTTAATATAAGCATATTAATTGTGTGTTACACACACACACACACCTATACCCCCCCACACACGCACACACACACGAAACAAAGACAAGGGCTTAGCAGCTAAAGTCTGGACCATATCGTCCGATAAACCAGTCATCATCAAGGTCTAAAACATAAAGCACAAAGAAATAAAACCCTAGGAAAAAAATAAAACATTTTTTTATAAATTAACATTTCCACTTGTGCCCGGAGGAGATTTTATTTTGGGCAATGATAGTGATGCGTAGAAATCGGAGCTTTCTTTGTTTCCTTGTGAACGCGGGCTAGTCATGATGAGATGTAAAAAGTTAAAGCAAAAAAAGAAAAAAAGGCAACTTTAAAGGGAAGCACAAACTTTCACGGCGCATTTCACCGGCCGAGCTATGCAACGCGCTGCTGTAATAAAATTATAAGTTCCCGACCAAAGCAACGCGAATGAAAAAAAAAAAAAGAAAAAAATGGGGAAAAATCGAGTTTTGTAGCTGACTTCTGCCAGTGCCTTTTACCAGGAAGCGGAAATGATGTTGGGCTGTCTTTGGTAAAGGCTTTGTTATCTCAACCTTTGAGCTTTTGCCTTTGCAATGAGCGATTGCAGTTTATATTTTGCCATTCTTATTTTATTTGCTCAGTTACGGAGCATGCTTTTAGGTCGCTGCAAATTTCTGCTTTTTAATGGCGACTCTCATTTATGAGATTTGGTTACCTTTTGCTACAGCTTTTGAATCTTCTTCCCTTTTTGCACCGGTCACATTTTTATGGCTGCAGGAGCATAATTAATTTTATTTTACGGCACGGCGCTTTGAAGAACTGCATATAAAGTCAATTAACTGAAAGAGCAGCAAAATAAAAAAAACTAATAATAATAATTGTAGCTTAAGTATGCATAATATAAATTAGCTCTGGCATGAAGTAGAGCTCTTTGCAGAAAATATTAACATAAATTCTTGCTTAAGAAAAACATAAAAACTTTTTACAAGAAGATTTAATAAATTTAATAAATATGAATATACTGTACATAAGACTGAAATGAAAATGAAATGAAATTAGAGCGCCTAATATTCTTCAACATTTCCAAATAACTTTTAATACTGCATGTTGAATTGATAATTTTCGGGCTTATCAAATCTAAAGACATCTCAAATTTGAAATGACAGTTACCGCCAAATCAACTGCATTCAATTGAATAAGTGTTGATAACGTCAATTGTACGTTTTTGTTTTTGCTTTTACGTCGCTAATTTTGCGCTTACGTTTTGGCTGTGTGCTTTCGCTGCTGTTTTTTTGCGTTGCTTGCTCATTTTTGCGTTAACGTTGCTCTCGTTTGCGCTTGCACTGCTGATTTTACGTTCGCCACAAAGTTTGTTTACAATCGCTGGCGTGCCGCATGAAAACAATTTAATAAACAAAGAAATAAGTAAAGACAAACTAACATCTTTGAAATTCGCTCGAAAGAATCTGCATTGATGTTAAATGACTTGCACGCATAGCAACAGCAAGGTATTTTTTAAGAGCACGCGCGAAGCTCCCATACTGCCGCCAAAAGGCGAAGGTGAGCGCGTGGAACGTGGAAATGTTTTTGTATTTTTGGTGTTCAAAAAAATGCCGCGCCGTCATTCGAGTGGTGTACGAGCTGGCGAAAGGACACGCGCGTCGCTGCATTTAAAAGTGGGATACTTGTAGTGCCCAAACAAACAATAAATCGTGTTCCTGCTGTGTGTGTTCGAGGGAATAAAAAATTAACATTCGGCTTAGTGACTGACAAAAGTTGTCCTGTTTAACTGACATTTGAACCGTTTCTATTTCAGCTTTAACGGCCCTTACATGGAGGACTTCAACAGCATTAAGCCGAACAGTTCGGTGGTAAAGATAGCCGCTTGCTTGGAGAAAATCTACAATAAAATCGTTGAGTCGAAGGAGAAGCAATTGGCCGAGCACCAAATCAAGGAAATCGAGTTCCTGAAAACCCAATGCAAGCACGAGCACATGCAACTCAGCCTGATGAGCTGTCAGACGCTGGTCCGCCTAGTCGACGAGGGTGTCCTAGATGCCAACAGCGTACAGAACACGCTCCTATCAATGCTGCCCAATGCGGGGTATGTACGGAACCAAACAAAATACAAGCACACACACACACACACACACACAAGCTCATATCTTAGGGGCACGCCCTGGCCTGGCACTTCCGCTTAATTGGCATGGCAAAGGAACCCAGGCGAATGCACTTGCAAAATTGGTAACACAAGAGCATAAATTAGCATTCTGTCTGCATTGGCGCATCACCGACAATTGAACAATTGGTTGCAGCATTTGATTAGCTAACCAATTGTAGGGCTTGCCTGGGCCAGTGGCCATGCCCACCTGGCAATCCCTCGCACTTCCGGCTGGCGCGTGGCTTGTGCCCTTATTAATTGGCATGTGATAAATGCGAAAAGTGAAATACACGGCATGCCAACTAGGAAATCCAAGTTGTTAACGCTTTTACACGCACATTGACATTGACTTGCCAGGTGCGTGAGCAATTTGCATAGCTTCCTGCCGCTGACCCACTGGCCGCAATCCTGCTGCCCAGCAGCAACAGTGACACGAAGCAATTGAAATGTACGCATTACGTATGCAGAACGCCAAAAGAAAGGAAAAAAATCTATTAGCCATTTCCGTAATACGACTCCCAGAGGAAGCCTTTTATCAAGGACAGCGTCTTGGCCTTGTGGCTGTAACTGGCCATATTCAAATTACGCGCCCGGCTACTTGCCAGGCAAATATTTGATATGCAAGCCAGAGAGAAACGTGCGCGGCATTGAACTTGAAATGTTTTCACATTCCGAAGGACGCCCTGCGCCCCCAGCCTAATAGCAACAACAATAGCAATCAACATTGGCCAAAAAGAGAAAATGTAAACAGCATGTAATACGGAAATTAACCTTGATAAGAGCCAAGTGCAGGTGCCAGTAAAAAGGATTGCATATTAATTGCCCCTTGCACCAGAAACAGCAATTAAAGCGAGCAGCCATTGTGCCAGTCGCGCGAGTTGTAATTATCGCGTCAAGCGCAAAACGATTCGCCAGAAACTAGCCAGGAGCAGCACCAGCCCAAGCTCTTTCCCTTTCTCTCTCTGGGTATGTGTGTGTGACGGAAGTGGGTGCTAAACGCTAATTAAACCCGTTCAACTAACAACTGATATATATATATATATATACCTTACCTGCAATTGCAATTGTACTCCACACGCAGCACGCTCCTTTCTCTGTTTTGTAGACACGCACGCAAAAGACTAGCTGCGATCTATAACTTTTCCTTTTTATACCCTGAACCCATCACAAATTTAGTAAAGGGGATATTATAACTTTATGCAAGTGTACGTAACAGCCTGAAGAAGCATCTGCTTCACCGTAAACTATGTCTATTCCTTCTCAGACGCAACAGCCGAGTCCATCTAGCCATGTCCGACTGTCCGTATGCATAAACGCATAAACGCAGTCTGACACGAGTTGTTTTGCTAATGAAGCAGACGAAATTATTCTATTCTTATAATCAATTCAACTAACCGTTAAAGAACTATTAGCTAAAATTCTATAAGATTCCAAACGCTTAACATACAACAGGCCGATGCATTTCGCAATTATTACGGAGAGCATTCTGGGCCTGCAGCTGCTGGGTCTGAAACGAAAGACTTCGCTGCTTAAGGACAAGGAGGTGTATCAGTGTCCCTATGGCTTGAAGACGCAGCTGCATCCGCTGATATCGCTGCTGCAGCACAGCAGCGCCAACATGCATGATGTCAGCAACAAGATTATTGGCGTCTGCCAGCATCACGACAAGCAGTAAGAAACAGCTTGTAGATATAGTTATGAGCATAATACTAAAACATATTTATTGGATTACAGCATTCGGGACTACAGCATTGAGTATCTGCGTCCCGTATTTCTCTATGTGCTGTGCAATCCGCAGACGCTGCAGGATGTGAAGCCAATTTGGACGTGCCTGCTGAGCCTGAGCCACAGCCAGCCAGAGGCGAGAGCTCTTATGCAGGAGCTGCTGTCGTGGAGCAAGTTCAACAATGCGAGCACCTGTCGGTGCACCAGCATTCTGGTTATCGAGGCCATCGATTACTTCTTGCAGCAGGCGGACCATGCCCAGTCCATCGATCTGTGCATTTACCAGGCGCAGCTTATCAAGCAGCTGGCCCACTTTGGCATCGACCCGCGTCCCAGTCTGCAGTGCCTGTTGCGTGTGTTGCATGCCACGCGGGAGCACACGCGACATCACTACCATGTGCTGCTAGTGCTGCTCGCCGAATGCCTGCACGTGCTGTCGCCCTTCTACCTGGCTGATCTGCTGCGCATTATTGTGTTTGTGGTGGTGCAGGAGCGCTGTGGCCATGAATACATTCTGAACATGTGTCTGGACGGCATCATTCAGTGGATGTCTCAGACTGCATTCATACCCGCAGAGGGCCTGGCGCTAGCCAATCAAATTGTGCAGCGCGTACTGGAGCAGCAAAAGCCGCAAGTGGATGGAAAAGTAGAGTTTGCGACGCGCATCTGCACCAAGGAACTGCAGCCGGCGCATATGCGAAACTATCATCCGGACATAGCTATTGCCTTCGATCTGGCCAATCTGGTGGAGTCCTTTGATGTTGCTGACAACAAGGACGTGTTTGCCTTCGTCGACGCTCTAAATGTGAAGGCCAATACGGCCTTTTGTCAGCGTCTGCATTTGTTTCTGCGCGCGCTCTTCCTCTCCCGCGAACCGCCCGTCGACTGTTGGTTCAAAATCTACGAGGTCATACTGCAGATCATCAAGGTTAACGAGACCATTGCCTACGATTTCCTCATGACGTACATTTTCAAGCTCGCCCACGAACACAATCCGGAGCTGCAGCTGGAACTGCTGCGCGGCCTGGCGAGCTTTGCCGTGTCCAAGGTACATACATACCATATTACTTGAACTCAATTAATCTGTTGCCTTTCACCAGGATAATGTGCCCATGATACTGAACACCATACGGAATCTTTCAACAGACAATGCCACCTTCTGTGTGGATTTGTATTTGCGACTGTGGCGCGTAGAAACGCGCACCTATCCCTTTTTGTTGAAGCAAATTGCACAGCCGTTGCCGGACAACGATAAACGCTGGGAGCTGGAAATAGCACGTACTCATGCCATGCGCGAAATCTGCCAGGAAAAGTAACTTATATCTTAACGTAGCTTTCGGCTCTTATTACTTTTGTGTATCTTGCAGACCCACGCTGCATGGCTCGGAGCTGCTGCCACATTTGAGCAACACTCTGAACAGCTGCACCGACGAATCGGGTGATTTAGCCACGTCGCTGGCGTTGGACGCCATTTATGCGCTATGCGACAGCCACACCGTAAACATTGCCTCAACATGGCAGGCTCTGGGCAGCAAGTTTCGTAGTGAACAGCGTCCCCAGACGCTAAAATCGCTCTATCACCTGTTTGGTCTGGTGCCGCTGCTGCAAACACCGACGCTGGAGTATGAGAAACTGGCGGATGATGCACTGGAGCAGCTGTGGCAGGCAGTTAGCCGCCCGAACACAGACGCTACACAGGTGCGAAATGCACTTGTTGCGCTCAAGAGTTATGAGCCAGGCAACACGCTGTGCCTGCGCCACATACCGCCGCAATTTCGATTCGAAATTACTGGAGTGGGCGCTGTGGGTGTGACTACTGGAGCACGTGAAGTGATCAATTTGCAGCAGCAGCAGGAGTCCATTCCAGGCGAGGTATGGGTGCAGCTATTGCAAAAGATACGACCCGAGTGCGGCGATGCGGCTGCTGATCTGGTGGCCCATTATATTGGCAATGAGATCAGCGCCTTTCGCAGCGGCGTCTATCGTCTGCCCGAGGGCAAACCGGAGCCACGCAAGCTGACAGGTCTCTTTGCCACCAGTCCGCTGCGTGCTGTCAGCAATTATCTGGTGAGTCAGTCTCGGTTCGGCGACTACGTGCCAGAACCCTATGCCGTCACCTATGCTCTGCGCGCACTCTCCAAGCGATTCGCCAAGCCGATACCACCGATGGACTGGAGCTGCCTGACCAGCTTCTTTCACCTGTCGTTTGATGCTCGCAAATACTGCATCATGATAGCCAAAAACCAGGCACTGCACAGCGGCACTGCTCGACGACTGCTAGAAAATTTCCTAGCCGATTTCGAGCCCAATTGCTTTGAGGAGGATCTGCTGCTATTGTTCTCCCTGCTGCCTGAAATTGGCAACAGCGTGAGTTTGCAAATACTAAAAAACTTTGCCGAGAAAGTAGCTGTCTACTGCTTCAAGGAATCGCAGCTAAACGACTTTGCAGAGGGTGAGCTTATGACCCATTATTTTATTCAGTGCCCACGACTGAAGTGTACTTTCCAGGTTGCCTGTTTGAGAAGTTTCTGGACAGCGTAAGGTACATATACACCGACAAATGTGAGATACCCGAGGTGCTGGACGTATTCACGCTTATAGTGGAGCGTTATATGGACTCGATGAATTTGGATTCAAGATTGTTTGAGCGTTACACCGAAGTGGTCTCTGTGCTGCATCCCAATGCCATCGATGGGTTAACCACGCCAGCGAATTGGTGGGAAACACCGGCGGGTAAACTAAAGAAGGCAACCATAATCCGCTGCTATCTGGTGCTATATAATGAAAAACTGCCGAATCCTTTAAAATGGCTAACGCCCATTATCGATGCCTACGAACGCCGGGCGGAGGAACGCCCCTTCTTCTATCGCCATCTGGCGACCACACTGTATGCCTTTGGCAGCGATGAGCATGCGTGTAACTGGACAATGGAAATCTTTTTGGAGATCCAAATGCTGCTCGCCGAGGCTTCCAACAAAGAGAAATTAAACAGAGCGCTATATTTGCTGGATATTTTTATACTGGCAGTGGATGTGTTGTCCGGCTGTGCCGTACTGCTGGGCAGTGTGGATGTCGTGGCCACAGATGGCAAGGAACGATTCGCATTATTCCCGGAGAGCTTGCAGTTTCTATGTGATCACATATTTTGGAAGGATCAGGAGGCAAAGGCAAGACTTTAACCCATGTATCCCCTTAATATTTTTTATTAGAATTTTGTGCTCATTTCAGATTTATGAATTTCTTTATAATCTTTATAAGCATGCGTCAATACCGCTAGCATATGCTGCCATTTTTAAAGAAGCGATTATTTGTTCGCGCAACAAGCCCTACTTTGATAACAAAGGTGTTTGGACCAAATACGTGGGTTTGCGTAAATGAGTTATTAGTTCATACACTCGAAATGAAACCAACACAACAGAAAGTGCACTTATTGTTATATAGTTGAAATAACGTGAATCCATTTTTATAGCTTGTGCGATATTTGTTGACTTTATTAAATGAACCTCAGCACCATTCAAATTGAAATTAACGACATTGAGCGTTGCCAGACAGCTGCATTCCCCAGAGAACTTCTGCACTCAGTGTGGCAGCACCAGAGTTAAGAACGACCACTGTCTATCGCCCAGCCGCCACTTTCTTGAGCACAGCCTAAACAATAGTATCGTATCGAAAATTATGAATCGGCAATATCGATACAATATCAACAATCTTAATTTATAACTATTATAAACTGCAATATGTTTCTGGCAAATATATTAAATCTAAATTAATTAGTGCGTGAATAATTGATTAAATTTGCCGCGCGAGTGGAAACGCGAGCCGTTGCGCGACCGTAAAGTGCTTAAAGCAGCCAGTTAAAAGTGTAACCATCAAAAAAACGTAAACAATGGACGATATCAAGCTGGCAAAGGTATGTAAATATGTACATAGTTTAATAAAGAGCGGAATTTGCTAAGCATGTAGATATGCCTGTTGTAAGCCATTTATCAATTTCGCGCACCTATCCTGGCGCCAGCTGTGAGTCATGCACTTGGAAGCTTTTATGTTTTATTCAAAATCGATGGCCAGGTAAAACCCTTGCCTGTGCTAAAAACAGTAACAACAACAAATGCGCATATATGACCCGGCTGGGGATAACGTCAACCCTTGCGCCACCTACAAGCTAGGTGGGGCCAAGGACGAGGCAATCGCGTTGGCCAAGTGGCATTCCAGCCAACGGCGCCTACACCTGTTCATAACATATACATGTATATGTACATAAACATAGCTGTAAATCATGCGCATAAGCGGGAACTGTGTGGTCGCAAGCACACCCCCCGTTTGCAGTCAACAGTTATGTTTATACAATTTTTACGACAACTACGCGACCGAGTGTAAGTAATTACGTTTATTTGTAACGTAAGTCAATACGTACGTTTACATATACGTATGTATATATGTATGTATTGAGACTGGGATTGCGACTACCTTATCGCACTTTGCTAAGAACTTGCTACCGTTTTTCTGGCGGCCTCAACGCCCTTTTTATTAAACAATCGCGCTAGCGACATTGACCATAACTTATCAATAAAAAAAAATATTACGTAAACTAAGTGTGAATTAATTGAAATATTTACGTAAATCAGGGTTGCATGCCCCAAATAAAATGTATGCTGGTTAAGTTAACTGTTCGAACTGACTTGTTGCCTGGACGTTCGGTTCGTGAACCTGGGTTGGTTCGGTTCTTGTGTTTGGTTCGGTTCAAAGTTGGTTCAATTCACATAAAACTAACTTTTAGATAAATTTATCTTTCAATCATAAACATTCATACAAGTTTGCTGACAATTATAAAATCTTAAAGTGCAGTTGAAAACTTGCAAAGTTGAAAATAGACGTTGGCGATAATTATAATGGGAATATCATTAAACTTACTTGTTCAACGATTCTCGACCGAAAGATACCCTATACTCGTTGCGCGTTACCAAATTCCTTATATAAGTGTATATCAATTTAAATTAAAGAGGAGCATATGCTGACTAATAACAAGTACTATATTTACTACAACTTTATTATATTTATTGATTTGGGGAGCAAGTTAAAACACTACAAACCATCGATACCCTATTCTCCATTTTATCCATTTTATTAGGGTATAATTTGGAACAAATAATATGTATTTTTAAAGTATTTATATCGAAGTATTTGTATCCAATTCGAGGAGACAATTTATTCCGCTTTCTATACTCATCACGAACGTACAATTATTTAACATTAGAAAGACGTAAAGCCATTGCGTATTAAAACCCGTTAGAAATACTGAAGGGTGATCACGAGCTCATGTGTCCTTAACCTAGGGTATTAAAATGGTCCCTATTTAGTTGAAGGCGTCCAGCAATGTGGCAGAAAATTTCCCATTTTGCAAGAATTTCCCCAACAGAAATGTGCAAAAGCGCGCTCGTAGCATGCTTTTAAGCGCGCGTCTTTCGCAGTCGTCACAGAGTTTTCGTTGGAAACGGTTGTCGGGACGTTGCGCTCACACACACACACACACGCACACACGCAGCTGTCCATGGGGCAGCAGTATCAGTGGCAGTGGCAGCAATAACAAAGTGGCACATATATATATTTATACACACATAAATAAATATGTCGGGTTAGACAAATAAGTAGCGTACTCGGGCTTGTGTGTTGGGCAAAAAGTGAAAGTAATATAAAACGACGCAGCGCCCCGCCGCTCTTCTTCCCGATTCACGTGATTTGATTTAAAAGCCAAGCCAAAAGGCTGCTTGGGTGGCTGCTCCTGGTGTTAGATGTTGTTGTTGATTTAAAATCAATAAAAGATTTACCCAGCGCAAACAGTATCTGAATTCATTTTTTTTTGGCAGTGCGTGTGTGACAATGGATTTTACAAGATTCATGAATAAATTCAACGAAATCGAACGCCAACTTTCGCCCACATCGGCGCTGCGTCTGAGCTTTGATAATATATCGCCGGAGAGCGAGGAGCCGCCCGATGGCAAGCGGCTGTGGGGTGTGCCAGTGCCACCATTTGTCTCCGATAAGGTCGTCTCCTGGATCGCGGAGGAGTTCAACGAGGCGCCCGTTTACTACAACGGCAACTGTGTCCTAAAAAAGGTAACCCAACAGCCCAGCCAGCTCCAAGCTAATTTCCTTTCTGTCATTAGGCAAATATGCAACAAAGTAATCAACAGAAATCCAGCTAATTTTTGTTCCCCTTTGTTTCACTTGCCAACGCCGCCGCCGGCAGCTCTCGGCCGGAATATGCAAATTACGAGCATGCCCGGCAGTGCGTCGAAGTTCTTTGACTTTGGCCAGGCTAGGAGGCAAAACTCTCGCACATATATATTTTATGTAGGTCGCCTATCAGCACCTTATCCATCGGTGCTCCCAGTGCCCCATCCTCGCAGCAATGCGTTCCGTTCATTCTCAACCAAAGCCTGTCGGAAAATTTGCAAAAACAAATTGTTGTCTTGCTGCACGTGCCACAAGGATTCCAGCTGCCTGACTTGGCAATTAAATAAATGTGGTTTTAGTGCACTGAAATGAATTCTAGTCAAGCTGCATGAAACGCACAAAAGTCTGACATTTATGTAAAATAATCCCTTTTGTGGTTTTCACTTTGCGGTTTGCGACCTTTCGAAGCTGTTCGGAGCAGAGAAAGACAAGCATTTTTGCTTAGATCGAGTAAATTGCTGAAATTTCTAAACCTGTATATGATGACATTCTTATTTAAAGAACTCTTTCTAGCACCCAAGTTCCACAAGACTCAAGTGCAGCATTCCATAAATTCTTGTAATAGGCATTTTATACATAAACCCATTTCTTTTTGTTTATTTTGATAACATCAGAGACGGGAAGGAAATATTTAAAAGAGTTCTTGAGTTCTTTCCCCATTAAAATGTTATAGAGAGTTTTTCCTCGAGTATATATTTATAAAAAGCCTTACGCTTTTATTTTATAGAGAAATTCACCTTAGTCAGCTTTTGTTCTGTGTATTGAATTGATTCTAATGCGATCAACTCGCAAATTGAATAGTCGATTATAGCCAGCATATTACTTTGAGTTGTAATCAATCTAAAAGTCATCGCAGATGTTGCATTTATTTATGCTTTGCGTTTACTCTTTCACTGGGGAAATTCAGTTAATGTCACACACAAATCTCCGCTATTCAATTTGTCTCCTCTCTCTATTTACAATTCAATATGGGGCTAGATTGCATTAGCCATTGAATACGGAATAAGGAATATTGTTGTGAGAAATTGTGATTTGCTTTAAATATTCAGCTATTCTTAACTGTTTTTTTTTTTTTTCATTCACATAGTTTGGTGACTTGCATTGTTCTGTTGTTTTTTTTTTTTTAAATGTTTTCACCCTGAGATACCATCAATATGAACATTTAAAATATTTTTCGTCTTTATTTCTATAGAAAATATATAATTATTTACATAAAAAGAGAGCTAGCAAGCTATGAAGCGTAATGAAAGCCCATATTTTGTGTTATTTTATACCAGTTAGTCTAACATGAATATTATGTTTTATGTTGTTGTAAAATAGTCGAAGCCTAGGTAATTGAAAGTTGCTTAACTATATTTTTTCAAGGCGAACTTTTGCTCTCAACAGCAAGACAATAAAATTGCCTTACCCCATTTTGTATTATTTACACAGTTTTGGGCTTCCTTTTGCTTGTGTGTGTGTGTGTGAGTGGGTGTGTGAGTGTGTGGGTGGCTTGCTTGTTTGTGTGGCTGCAACGGTATAGTGCAAATTGTGGGGTGCTTTTACAGCTGACGTCAGCGAGCGAGCTCTGCACAGAAGCAGCTAAAGGGAGCCAAAGGAGCTGGAAAATTATTACAAACCATATATATAGAAAATATTTAGAGAAGAGCTTAAAACTTATAGTGCTAGTAAAATGAATACTTTTCTTGCGCTTTATTTTACAGGTGGAAAATGTGCGCATGATTGATCGCTACAACACTAAAAATCCTACAGTTGGCACTTTGTATCTGACGGCCACGCATCTGATATTCGTGGAGCCCGACAGCAATAAGGAGACCTGGGTAAGTGAAAAGCTCGTAAGAGCTGCCCATTCCCTGCTATGACATCATCAATTATTCGATGAGCCGCCCGGTTCGAGTGCGCCTCAAGCTCCTTGTGGACCTCGTCAAGTTCAAGCTAAACACTTTTGTGCAATCTCTTTGCAAACAACCTTTTTCTGGGTTGATTTTTGGGCGATTGTCACGCCTCCCTTCTGACTGTGTGTGCCTGTTCTCGACCAACCGCAAAAGTATGTTACGGAAATATAGTAGACCGCAGAGGCATGCCACGTTTTGTTATGTTGTTGCTGTAGCATGCCGCAAAACATGTTGCTTTCCCTTCTGCATACCACATAAATCATGACGTTATGAATTTATTCATTTTTAATATTGAAAGGGCAACAATATTGCACTACGTACCGCTATCGAAAGTACCCCAACTTATGATTTATTTATGAATTGCATGCAGACATTTTATTGAGAATAACAAAATAATTGCAACTAGCTAATAGACTCTTTAAATAATTCATAAGATAGCGATTAGCTGTACATCCTGAAATAATTCAAGGCACAGTTCAGTTTTGCACTTTCCGCACAACTTTTCTGAATATCAGGAAATGATAACGAAAGATTTTAAAGGAAAGGTTAACTCCAATACAATTCTCTGAATTTAACTTGTATTCTTAAATTTCACATATTTAACTTTCTACCTGCATAACTTTTATTATACTCCTTCTTGTGTTTCTTATGCAAACAACTTGAAGGGAAAAGCAAATAGTATTCTATAGTATTAACCAGAGCTGATAAAATATATGTTTATTTAGTTAACAAAAAAAATTATTCAACACACAAGCAGCTATCGTCAGAAACGACGAACGTGTTTAAATCTGCACTTGGCGTCCAACCTTTTGACCTCGCTCGTTAAACGAGAAATCTGGCTGCCTGGGCCTGGCATTCGTCATAATGCAAAATGTGCTGGTGCTTCTGCAAATACACATTCGCCTACGCATAGCATGTACATGGGTGTGTGTGTGTGTGTGCCTCTCTGACGGCTGCATTGCCCGCACTTCCGGCCACTTGGCTGAAGAAGTGTGCGTGTAAAGTTTCTTTTCTTAGCAGGTGCCCTCAAGGCTGCTGCTCAGCCGCACAGCGCTTAAGACTTGTGCTTGCCAAAGTTTTTGTCGGCTTTAAAAAGCAACAGAGTTTAAGTATAATTAAAATGTGTTTGTCTTTGGTTCGCTTAACAGAACTAGGCCCACCCAGACAACTACACACAACAGGCGCACGCGAATTGCGCATACGCCCCATTGCACAAATACAAATTAAAATACGCTGTCGTCGTTGCCCGCTGTGCGCCGCTGTGTTTGTTTGTGTGGGCGTACATTATTTCCAGCACAAAACATGCATTCATTTCGTGTTAAGCCATAGCAAATACAAGAACAACAGGAAAACACTCACAAAGCGCAAAGGAAACATTGCAAAAAGCAACACAAATTCACTGCCAATATTCCAAATGTGCTTGGGGATTGACGGACTGAGTGACTGATTGCCTGACTGATCGACTGACAGAAGCAAACAAATTGCAGCTTAGCGACTGCAATTCCATTTCCATTCAAACAAAACTAGTTGTCCCAGTCAGTGACAAAAGGATACGGAGAAGAGTCGAGTCTATGACTTCATGCCTGAGAATTTGAATGTGTGCAGCACAAAAATGCAAACTTTCAAGCTTAAAATAAAATTTTAAAAAATTTTAAGTTTACCAGTTTAAAGTAAAGAGCATTTTATTGCAATATGAAATTTAATTTAGTGTACAAAATTCACATAAATTTCACTTCTAAATATAATTATGCAATTTATGCTTCTATTAAAAAATTTTACCAGGTCCAGGTTTTTTTTCTTTAAATTTTCCCACTTTTGAGTTCAGTACTAAGAATCATAAAAATAAATAGTTTCTTTTACATTAAGCTCTGCGTTAAAAAGTGAAAGTCAGTATAAATAATCTTTAAAACTGGCGTGAAATTAATTCCACATATTTTGCGCTTTTAAATTTTCACACATGTGGATAGTTATTATTAGGAGAGAGTGTTAAAGTTGGAGAAGATGATTTAAAAAATAAATGCTCAACGGAAAAATCTAAAAATATGTCCAAATTTTCAAATGATGCTCTAAAAAAATTACTTTTCATTTATTTTCCACCCTTGTCTGTGGAAAGTCAGCAAATGCCGTCTTGGGTTAAGTTCTGTGAATACTTAAAACTGTTGAATATACCGTCAATATAAACATCCTTGAGTAAATATACATAAATACATAATATAAACATAACTATATAAATTCATAAATAAGCATATACGCATTTTCTGAGCTGCAGAGCTGCTTAACTCTGCTTGATTTTGATTCAATTTGTATGCAAAACCAACGCAGAATATGTGCATATTTAAGTTGCTCAGTTATTTAATACATGTTTAATTTAACTACTAATTACTATTTGATTTTTTTTTTTTTTTTGGTTGATGTGTGGTTCTGTGTGCATTCAGGCACTGCGATTTTAATTGCCTCACCATAATTATATCAATTATGCACTTTGCAACGGCGCGACAAGTGGCCGCAAGAGAACGCAGCAAATGAGCAGATTAACGTCGCGTTGAGTCTTTCATGTTCGTAATTAAAAGTTAGGGCACTCGTGTGCTGAGCCAGCTGCCAATTATGAGCTGAGGAGGCTTAAATATCGATTTTCTGGCTCGTGCAGAGATAGAGCGACACTTTATAAAAGTTTCAGTGCCTGACCTGGAGGCGTATGGGGCATTAACTGGGCGCCGCTCAAAGTTGAGTGATTAGCGTGTGGAGATTGGCTGTTGAGTGACTGTTTATTAACTATCTTGCCTGTGCCATTGCTCATTACAGATTCTGCACATGCACATTGCCAGCATTGAGAAGCTGCCGCTTAGCACAACCGGTTCGCCGCTTTTGATACGCTGCAAAACTTTTCTGTCGGTGACATTTGTCATACCCAAGGACTCCGAGTGCCATGATGTCTATACTTCGCTAATCAAACTCTTTCAGCCGGGTAAGCATCATCACAATAGTTTGTTTAGATGTGTCATCTTAACAATTCATATCTCGTAGTCTCCATCAACAAGTTGTACTGCTTCAACTATCAGCCAGCCAAGGATGATTACCCCAAAAATGCTGGCTGGGACTTTTTCAAATTGGAGGCAGAGTTTAAGCACATGCTGGTGCCCAACGACAACTGGACGCTGTGCTCCATGAACGAAAAGTACGAGCTGTGCGACACGTATCCGCGTCAGATCTATGTGCCCAAGGAGGCCACCACATTGATGCTCATAAGCAGCTCACGTTTTCGCTCCAAGGGTCGCCTGCCCGCATTGACCTATTTGCACAACAATAAGGTAACTGAAAGTCTTGCGAATCTCATCTGAAGCTATGCAAATAAATGTGCAATAACTCTTATCAACAGGCGTCCATATGCCGCTGCAGTCAGCCATTGTCGGGCTTCAGTGCCCGTTGTCTCGAGGACGAGCAAATGCTGGAGGCCATACGCAAAACCAATCCCAATACCGATTACATGTTCGTTGTGGATACGCGACCGCGCGTAAGTACAACTAATGCATATAAAACAATATGTAAATAACAAGCCGATTGTGACCCCACTTGTTTGTAGATCAATGCCATGGCCAATCGTGCCGCCGGCAAGGGCTATGAGAACGAGGCCTTTTACGAGAACATCAAGTTCCATTTCCTTGGCATTGAGAACATTCACGTACAGCGCGCCAGCCTACAAAAGGTGCTGGAGGCTTGCGAACAGAAATCACCCACGATGAGCGCATTTCTGAATGCCCTAGAGTCATCCGGCTGGCTTAAACACATTCGCTCCATATTGGACACGTCGAGGTAAGTAAATAATCAACAATATAATAAAGCCTAAGGCAGGACGACAACTTTCGCTGTGCTCGCTAAGTACTCGACACAGAATATATTTGTATTATTGCTTACTTTGAACCGGCGACCTTCCTTTTGTTCGTCTGGCACTTAGGCACCTTCACCCACAGTAAAAATATTACATCAGACCCTTTCTCTAGTTGTTTATTCAATTGATTAAAGTTCATTATGATTAATTTTCTTTGCAGCTTCATTGCCAACGCCGTCGACAAGGGCGTCTCCGTGGTTGTACACTGCTCGGATGGCTGGGATCGCACTGCTCAAGTTTGCTCGCTGGCGCAGCTCATGTTGAATCCTTACTATCGCACAATTAAGGGCTTTCAGGCGCTCATCGAGAAGGACTGGCTGGCGTTTGGGCACAAGTTCAGCGAACGCTGCGGCCACATACAGACGGATGCGCGCGAGGTGTCGCCAATCTTTACGCAGTTCCTGGACTGCACCTGGCAGCTAATGTCCCAGCGCAGCGAGTCTTTTGAATTCAATGAACGCTTTCTGCTCATACTCCATGACCATGTGCACTCGTGTCAGTTCGGCACTTTTGTGGGCAATTGCGAGAAGGATCGCCTGGACCTGAAGCTAGCCGAGCGCACATTCTCGCTGTGGGGCTACATGGCCAACCATCTGAACGAGTACATAAATCCGCTGTATAAACCCAACATAGATGAGTCGATCAAAGCCAACCTGGCGCCACAGTGCATCAAGTGAGAGAGCCTTCAATTGTTTGAAGCTTAAATAAAATACCTAATTTGTGTGTGTTCATAGGTTCTGGCGTGGCATGTACAGCCGCTTTGAAAGCGGCATACACCCACGCGAGCCATTGGGTGATTTGCTGCTGGACAGCAAGGAGCACTGTAACTCCCTGGAGGATCATGTGCAGCACTTGACGAAACGTATTGCCAGTTTCAAAAACTACATTTCCAAGTCGGCCAAGAAGCTGCAGGATGCCACCACCACAACCACCACAAAAGCTAGCAAGGAGACGACCACCAACGAGATCAATGACAACAAGTAGCCAGAAACATTGAATCCTGGATTTTCCTTAATGCCTAATCATTTAAATTATGCCTTGCAGATACAATTATGACAAGAAGCTAAGCGAATTGTCCGCCGCTGATGATGATCATCCGCTTAAGGCGAGCAACATGTCATTTGCCAATCTCTCGTTAAATGCCGAACAGGCGAGCACCCAGACTTTGACCGAGGAAATCTCTTCCGTGGCCCTTGATTGGAAGTCCATGCGAAACGTAACCACCTGCTCCTGCTCCACGCCCTTCGATCAGTTCAGCAAGAAGGTGAGTGGCATCCACTGCAGCTGCAAAAGTTCATTCAATTCACGTGCCTTCCAATCCGCAGACACATTGCTGGCGTTGCGGCGAGATCTTCTGTGAGCGTTGCATTGATAAGAACGTGGCGTTGCCTGGACACGATAGCGGCAAGCCGGTGCCCGTTTGTCGTGGCTGCCACCGACAGATGCAAAAACAGAGTCCATAAGCCCAATTCTAGCATAATCCTAGTTATAAATTGTTGAGCATGTGACGTGGAGTGAATGTGGACAGCGTGCAAGCGAGTGGACGTATTTGTTTCGGGTGCGTTTTTGTGGCATAAATTACATATACACATACTAACACAGATATACATATATATACATATTATTATAATATATTTATTGTTGCATTTGTAGTTGTAGCTACTTAAAAGCACCCTCGACTTTCGAGTTATTGCGCGCAAATCAAAAAACATTCTAAACTAGCCGTGCACCAAAAATGTGCCGAGTCGGGCACAAAACGTTTTTATGTTGTTGATTTTGAAATTTCTAAGTGTCAGCTCTTTTCCAAAAATGGAAATTCCCAAATATAGTTCGTATTTCAAAGGGATTGACACAATCTGCAGCCTTGGCTGGCATTTACGTATTACACGTTTTTTTTTTTTAGTACGACTAACAAAATCAATAACTATATCTTAATGTTACAGAATCTCTATCCAGACAGCATTCCACATCCAAATTTGTTCTTTAATAGTTTGAACTATCAACGTATTTTCTACAGGCTCAAATATTTCTGCCTATTTTACTGTGAGATAGTGTGCGAAATTGGGAGCGGTCTGTTCTTGCCTCATTTATCTCACACAATTAAGAAGTACAATTGCTTACATATTAATACAAACATATGTATACTTAAATATACTAGCGTACAATTGCATGGATACAGTTAAATATTAGAGAGAAAACTATCGTAACGTGTACTACACAAGCTGTCAGACAATTTATCTGCTTTACAAGCCGTAAATGGTACTATGCAAAGATGTTTGATCAAAAGTATAATAAAAAGGATTATTTATTCAACAAATGCCGCACTGACTCGAGACACGGATTTTAATTTCTCAATAAATTATACAATTCTTTTGTCGACTCCATGAAAAAGAAAGCAACAGGATATGAAGCTCTAATAGCCAATATCTGGTTTAATACGCAGAATGACGGGCACGCTGGTACAGGGCAGAATGGCCACCTCGGTGACAACGGCACTGACCAATTCGGGAGGCGTTATGTCGTAGCTCAAATTGAGCGGCGTTAGCCGGCTCTTGGTTTGCCAGTTATGGAGACAGCATTTGCCATCCTTCACCAGTTGATTGGGATCGCACAGCTCGTTATAGACAATGGCATCAGTTTGGAAACGCTCACTGAATTTGTGTGTCTCACAGCAGACGAGAACAGGAACATTATGGGAGTTAGCTACGAGCGCCACTTGGGCGGTGCCCGTTCGAGCCATAACATATCCATTGGCTAGCAGTGCATGCGCTCCCAGCATCACTTTTGTGGCCTCCGGCATCACATAGCTGATGGCGTTAATCAGCACATATGTGCAAGGTATGCCGCAGGCGTGAAGTCGGCGCAGCATCTCCTGTCCCTCACAAAAAGGCAACGAGTCAACAACAATGACACGAAAGGACACCTGGCGGCGTTTGGCCTCCTCGCAGATAAACTGTATGAGCGAGGAACAGGCAAAAGTGAGCAGGACGTCGCCGTCTGTAATCTTCTCCTGCATAGAGCTGCTGATGGCCTGCGCAGCCTTGCCAATCTGATTCTCTATGTAGGTGTCTATAAAGTGTCCGAGTAGCTCCTTTAGCTACAATAGAAAACAAATGCAATCGACCGTGCTTGGAATTTTTGTCAAACTGCGCTTACCTCCGTTTCGGGTTTGTCCGGCAGCTGCATCAACTGGTTCTTAAACTGCTTATATGCATTGGATACGGACACGGCCAGTGGTCGACACTTGTGCAGATGTTCGACATGATGCTTGACTGCCGCATCGAGACTGCGTCCAAACTCTTTCTTCGCGGGCGTCTCAAAGTCCTGCACCACCTGCCGCAGCGCATGCAGAAACGCGATACAGCGCGCATTGGAGCCCACAATAGTACGCTGGGCATACTGCACACCCAGCCGAGCAATGCTGGGATGCACACTGGCATCGTTTATAAATAAGCTAGCGTCTTTGTCAGCGCTCACCAAATGGTTGAACAGCTTCACGTTCCACTCTCGTTCTGCTTTGTGCGTTGTTGGCTTTGACGGCGACTTGGCGGGTGATTCACTCTCTCGTTTGGGCTCCTTAACAGGCGTGGCACTGACGACAGGAGTCGCCTTAACGCTGCTTGTCGCGGCTTTAGCTACACCGGACGTTGGTGTCACATTTTTGTTTTGTCCCTGCGCCTTGGCCGCGCGTTGCGCCTCCTGTATCGCACGACGCTCCGCCTTGCTTAGCGCTGGTTTTTTCTGCAAGTCAATTAGGATCCGTTTATAATTAGTTGTCTGATAGTGATACGATTTCTGGTTATGAAGAATTCAAAAGGTAATACAACGGGTATTCGATTGTAATTGCATTAGCCGTAACGGCACAAGGTCGCCTTTATAATCAGCAAAAAACTGATTAAAGCAGCTTCATAATATATGAAAATCGAATAAGAATCTATTTCTTACCTTGTCTTGATCTGCTGCTCCCGTTGCAGCAGTTTCGTTAGCTGCCGCCTTGGGAGTGAGTTGCACGTTGTTTAATTGCTGAGCCACTGCATCCACGCTGTTGGCCTTGTTGGACTTTGCAGCATGTTTGGCGGCCTTTTTCGCCTCACGCTCCGCTTTGATTTGCTCGCGCGTTTTTTCACTAGCTCCCGTAGCGTTGGTCAAGGAATCTGTTGTGTTTTGTGCGCTGACCTGAACTGCGTTATTTGTAACGGTTGCATCATATGAGGGCGCGGAAGCGGCTGCTGCTAGCTGGAGTTGGTTTTGTTCTTTTGTCGTTGTTGTTGTTGTGGTCGTTAGCTTTTTTGTGATGGTCGTTTGCTCTACTTGTGTTATGATTGTTGTGGCTGGCGTGATTGGTTTCTGCTTCTTGGCCTGCTTAGCTTGCTTCTTAGCCTCTCGCTCGGCCATCACCTGCTCGCGGGTCTTATCCGCCGATGCATTCTGCTGTGAATTACTGTTAGATTTTTGCATTGCACTGTCGCTGCGTGGCTGAGCCTCGTTATCTTCCAATCGGTTGCGTTTGTTTCTGGGCCGATTGCGTAGCCGTTGCTTCTTCTGCTTGTTCGCTGCAGAAGTCGATGAGTTCTGTTGAAAGCACACACTGAATATTATTGGGGGCAAGTAAGATTTGTTAGATAAACATGCCAAATTAAACAACTTATATTTCAAACTGTACAAAAGTTATTGAGGCTACATATGTACCTGTTCGCCCGTCATAACCATTTTGTTGGCTTGAAAAGACAAAAGCTTGGGCAGTTTTATTGTTGAAGGGACCTTAGCAAATTACAATAAGGGGGTCTTTGTTTGATGACCCATTTTTATTTACCTTGTTAATGAATTTGTTGTAATACAACTTTACAAACTTTGCTCACGATGGCAATTTTCTACCAGCTGGTTGCTAAACGTTGCCACATTAAGTCATAAATGTCTTTTAAATAAAACTAATTGCAGCCCTGCACGACAAAATGTGAATGGCAAAAAGACGTCGACGTTAAAGTGAATGTCTGCCGAACTAAATAGCAGGTTATATTTCCCCATTTATTTAATGAATGTAAAATCATGTCGGTTTTAAATCATTTATTCACCAATCAATATTCATGTTAAGCCAACTGATGCAGCTTTGAAATGTATATAGATGCAACTTTAAACAACTAAATCAATGACAGCACCGCATAGCTTAGCAAATTAATGGTGCGAGGCAGCCTCCTTCGCTTGGCTTTCAGCCCAGGCCTTCTTGTTTTCGGGCGAGTTGGCTGCAATAAAAACATATTTTAGCAACACGTGTAAACCAATCCCAGATTCTTAAGAGGGCCACTTACCCAACTTGCTGATCTTGTAGAAGACAGGTATGCAAGCAACCACTGAAATGAAGTAATAGCGCCAGATCCACTGATTCTTAATATAATGCTTGATTGGGAACTGGGCCAATTTAGCCGAGAAAGTGTATGGATATTTCATTGGACGTCCAACGGGTTTTTCAGCAGCAGCTTTGTCGGCCATGGTTGTGATTTGGTTACTGTGTATTTAATTAATTTGCAAAATATGAACAATTATGTAATTTTCGGTCCGAATGCCACAGTTACGTACCTTCGCAAGACGTAGAGAATACCACAATATTTTAATGTGCTACAGCAGCCCTGAAAAAAAAGTGAAGTTGGTTGCAAATTCTGAGGACTGCCAACTTTTGCTCTTATGAAGGTAATATACAATCCAAAATTTTTGAGAAAAATATATGATTTGCTCTTGATATGTTTACTGTAATAATTCAAATTGTATTGTGTAGCCTAAGAGTATTTATACATATATTTTAACTATAAAGACTACTTCGATTTCTTACTGTAACGTAAATGTGTCCAAAAAATGTGTTTACTACGGTCACACTCTTTGCCATTCACAGTGTTAATGTTGTTAGTTCCTTGCCGGTCGTGAAACGCGCTAATTTTATTTTGTTTTTTTCTCATAATTTTAACATTTATGCACAGAGCGTATTGTTAGAATGCTTGTTCATGGAATTGAAGTATTTAATATGCACCCTACTCGTTTTAATATAATTGCGTTTGTTCGGTAAGCCGCACGTGCCCTGCCAAAGAGCATAAACGTTTACCGCTCACAGAAAAACACGTGAAACCAAAAACAACAAAACGAAATACGGCCATGCCTGAGAATTTGGGTTTTGATGAGTTCGATTTTCTGTTAAGCACACCACAAGAACTGTCGCAAAATGAAATCAACAGTAGCTTTCCCATCAATGGGAAGTCTACGAAAAAGCGCCTACGAGTCGCCGACCTGATTGCGAACAACGATGAACTGGTGCGCCAGGTGAAGGAGCTTCAGGCACAACAGCAGCAGCTCTGTGGCATGCAGCGAACCGCGAGCGAGGTAACCGAGCTATACCAGCGGGAGAAACAACAACGCATCGAGCTCGAGCGGCGTGCACTCGAGCACAGCGAACGCTGCGTCGATCTAGAGAAACAGTTGGATGTTCAGAAGTTAAACTGTGAGCACTTGCAGGAAGAGCTAAAGACCAAGTGGATGCCAGTTGATGCCAAAGAAATGATCATTATTTTCATGCAGCTGGCGCAGCGCATTGTCGGCGATCCTCACGCCAGCGGTCTAACCCGCACCGAACATAATATGTTGCGCAAGCTGAAGGACTACTGCAAGTCAGCGAATATTTCTATACCCGCGCCAAAGAGCCCCACAAAGAGGCGATCAAAGGGGGTGGCAGCTGCATCGCAAGCAACTCAAACGCAGCCGCTGCCGGTTTTACCAACGCCTGCACCCACCAAGCCAGACATGTGCTCGATAGCCACACAAAGTGAGAGTTTTGTGACCACTAGGGATCAGGGCATACAGCACAAAAACACAACAACAACGCGCGGAACGACGACGGCCTCCTTCATCCAAATGCATGACATGGGCACGTGCTTTCCAGAGCCTAAGCCCGCACTGAATGCTCATCAAATATTGGATAAGGTTCTCTCGTGGACAATAACACCGCTCAGTCCCATCGGGGATCAAACACCGCCAACCGAAACGTTGACCGCAATAAGTGTGGGCACCTGCACAGATCTGTGCAATGTGCAGCGTGAGATTGACTTTCTGCCACAGCTGCCAGCACAGCTGAAACGCTCCGATTCCCGGCCACCGTCGCGGGCCATGTACGACAGCGTCAAGGACGAGCTAGCGATACCTGCGGATGCTGCTGCGCTAGATGGCAATAGCCACCACATGGCAAAGGAGCTACTTAGCTTTCTGCCGCACAATCAAAGCGTTTTAGCTAAAATGCCGCCCCAAGTCTTCGAGGAGGTCTGGCAAGTGATGGGCCAA